GTGTTCAAGATGGATGTAACAGTATTTTTGGAATGATTGGGTCTTTAGATTTGTGAATGACGTAGCAACTGGGGCTACAAGTAACATGCATGTGATAAAGTATTCTCGGTGGTTTGCATTTGCTAGTGATAGGACATCAGATGATGTGCACGATCGAGGGTTGGACAGAAATACAGAGAAAGGAGACCATTAGGCGCACTGTGTCCCTGTCAGCTGAAAGATAGCTAGCCAGTTTAATTCCATATTCCATTTCTTGATATGTAGCCTGTTGGCACTTAGCATTTATTTCCAAGTAGTTTTTAAATGCAGTTAGGGTATCTGCATCTTTCATCTTTTTGAGCAATGAGTTCCAGACCTCTTCCACACTGAGTGAAAGCAAATCCTCAATGCCTGTCAAATTTTTCCAGTAATTCATTTAAATCTTTGCCCCTAAGTTACTGACTTCTCTGTTAATGGAAATAGGTCCTTCCTATTCACAATATATAGGCCCTTCATAATTTCATACATATCAATTAAATCTCCTCTTGTTGCCATTAATATCTGAAAGTTTATCAATCTCTTCCTTGAATATACTCAGTAACTTCCACAGCCTTCTGCAGTAGTGAATTCCAAAGTTTGACCATCCTCTAAGCAATGAAATGTTTCCCCATCTCAGTCCTAAATGTTCTACCTCTTATACTATAAGACCATAAAGAGCAGAAATTAGGCCATTCGGCCCATCGAGTCTGCTCCGCCATTCAATCATGGCTAATAAGTTCCTCAACCCCATTCTTCTGCTTTCTCCCCGTAATCCTTGATCCCCTTGATAATCAAGAACCTATCTAGCTCAGTCTTAAATGTACTCAATGAGACTGAGACTATGACCTCTGGTTCTACCAACCACCACCACCCACCCCAAATCTGCATTTAGTCTGTCTAGCTATGCTGGAATACAGTCTATGATCCCTCTTTGTGTCTTTCCTTGCCTTGATTGCCCTTGGCAAATTCTTTACCTCAGACTTCTCCACACTGGATCCATTTGTCAATTTACTGACCACCTGATCAGTCCATTAGTATCTGCTGCTTGGAGCCTTCTTCCACCCTGATAACACCACAGGCAACTAATGACTTCCCCAGTTAAATCATAATTATTGATAGGTATTGGCAAGGGACCTACTACTGAACCCTGTGGAACTGTACTGGAAATAGACTCAAAAACAACAGTCTACCAAAAGTCTTTGCTTTCTGCCACTGAGCTAAATTTGGATCTGATTTGCCATATTGCCTTGGATACCATGGATCTTAATTTATTTTTCATCTCCCTCAATCGTCCTTGCAGGATCACATCTCTCTTCGTACCTGTGTCATTGGTGCCTAATGGACTATAATCTGTGGCTGAATCCCACCTCCAGAGCCCCACCAAATGTTCTGCAGCTGCTCACAGGCACTCTGGATGCCAAAATCAGAAAAGCAACATAATATCCTGGAGCTGTGTCTGCTGCCACCAAAATGCCAGTCTTTTCCCCTATTCTTATGTTCCATATCATTGACTTCTGACCTTACTCCTATTCCTGTACACATCTAAATCATCAAGTTAGTTCTGGCAGCACTATCCAAATGAAAAACAATCCCCAGTTATATTCAGAACTGAATACCAGTTGATGAATACCGATTGGAGAATCTGATGCATTCAGGGGACTCCTGAACTTCTCACCTGCCTCTGATTGACTGTCTGAAAGTCACTCCATGTCCCTACCTTTGAACTGAGAGACCCGGGTTCAAGTGCCACCTCCTCCAGAAGTGTGTAATAACATTTCTAAACAGGTTGATGAGAAAAATTGGTTACTAAGTCCTTAATTTTTCTGCCTGCCAATTAAACTGCAGTGTGACCACATCCAAAAATTTGTGATTGACCTTGCCTCATAAATGCATCACAGTGAATATAGCAGCTGCTGAAATTTTGTGAAACTGAACTCACTCCTCCAATTGATGGCACGTTCTACACAGGTGGTTGTACAGAACTCGAAGTGTCTTTAAGTTCCTACATGGAACAGGATGTGTATCCCATTTGCCTGAGGTGCCCTGCCATACCTCCATTTAAATAATTACTAATTTGAGTAAAAAAATGTTAAGTGTTTAACATTTAATTAAATCAACAATTACCAGTTCTTGCCAGTCAGCTTCTTACCTTGTGCTCAGGTCACATTATTGTATTTAAGGAGATACTTTGTGTTTTTATTTAATTCTTAATGTTTAACAGTGAAATTATCCATTTTACACTATAGCAATACAAGTGGTATTGTCCAAGAGCAAAAGGCTTCCATCAAGGCTGCCTCCTACACAAATGAGTAATGCAGTGTATGAATTACAGTGCCTGTGTGATGCTAGTTATGAGGACCTTAGTTCCTAATGACTGCATATTATATCAAACAGCATGTCCCTTTGGCTGATGCAACAGGCAGGGTACTTGCCCTACTCAGCTAGACCATTGCTGATAAAACATACTGGCCCATATTAAATTTGATTCCAAGGTTGGAAAGGACTTGTTGAACATTCCCATTTAGGATAAGAATTTCATTAATGACTAATTTAGGATTATCAGTCAATGATGGAACGTGGCTAACATAAGTGTGCTAGAGCTGCATATATTCATATCGAGGGGCTTGTCCTTTGCAACCAGGAGAAACACATCCACACATTTAGCAATCTTTTGTCTTGTTAAAAAATTGTGACAGTCATTCCCATATCAATGCCTTGACCAATCAGTTGACTTGCCTGGTTTGCATCTACTCAAAAGCTTTGCAATTATAGAGCCATAGAGTATTACAACGTGATAAAAGGATCTTCAGCCCATCAAGTCCATGCCAGTAATCAAGTACCTATCTACCGTAATCCCATTTCCCAGCCATTGACTTGGTCTATAGCTTTGAATTCTGTGGTGCAACAAGTATCCTTCTTGAAGATTGCATCCTCTACCACCTTGAGTTTGAGATGCCCACCAACCTGATTTCTTTTAAGCTGTGTCTGAAACTGGGGACTCATTGAGGCCTGGGACACCTTGCAGGGATCTTGCAGAAGCCCTGGAGCTGTGTTTGAAGGTCCCTTGTACAGAAGATGAACTCTATTTACGTAATTTCCTTTTATACTTTTAGTAAGTCAAAATGGTGCCAAATTGTGGCGACAAAATACTTTTACTGTATCTTGTAGATAAATGTGACAATAAATAGCTAATAACTCATAAACCTCATGCCCTTTACCTTAGATCTATATCTTCTGGTGAATGATCTCATTACTCGGGGGGGAAAAGTTTATTCTTATTGACCCTATCTATGCCACTCAATTTTGTAGACCTCCATCAAATGTCCACCCGCACCCCCCCATCCCAAAAAAAGCAACTTATCTGCTCCAAGGAAAATAACTTTATCTTTCCAGTTTCTCATCATAGCTGAAGTTCTACAGCCTGGGCAATATCTTGGTGAATTTCCTCTGCACCCTCCTTTCTATCATGGTTGGTGACCAGAACTGCACACAGTACTCCAGCAGTGGCCTAACCAATGTCATCTAGAGCTCCAACATAACCTCTAAGATCTTGTATTCAATGTTTTGACTAATAAAGGCAAATATTCCGTATACCTTCCTAACCACCTATCCTGTTGCCTTCAAGGTTCTATATACATGCAAGCCAAGGTCCCACTGATCGGTGGGATCCTCAGTTCTACCCAGTTAACTACTCCCTGGAGTATTTACAATAGCAATGCTTCTGTCTAATGCAACATTAATTATCATTCCTTGGAGATTTGCTATTCTTGGAACACTGTTCTGATAAATACAGCTTGTCTCTTTTCTCAGTAGTGCTTTTTCTGAACAAAAAGCAAATTTTTCCCCATACAGGTGATTAAATGATAGTTGTTATCATAATAAATTATCCAGTGTACAATGATAAGGGGTATCTGTGGCTCAGTGGTAATAACCCTACCTGGCAGGGGCTTGAGTCTGCCTGCTCTGGAGGCATGTCATAACATGCTTGGATAGGTTGATTTAAAATATCTGCAATGTATAAAATGCAAGTTAAAGCTTTTATATCTTATCCAATTGGCTTACTTTTAGTTTTAAACTAATTAATTGATCTAGCTTAAATTATGGGTTGATTAAATTCAAATAATTATTTGTAGACTTAATCTTGTGGGCTTCCTTATTGCGACATCAATAACTAACTGATTTTCTTTCCCAGTCCCCATCCCAATTTCCATTTGGTTCACCAACTGAGTGAAACTGACCCCTTATGCTGCTCCATTCCACATTCAGCCTTCTACTTCATGTTGCTTTGTGCCAGGCCTTGCCAGTATGCTGCTTCACTCTGCTGTCAGCCACACCCTCAATGCTGCTCTACTGCACACTCTATCTTGCCTTTGTGATGCTCCATTGTAGGTCCCAGATGGTGTGTCTTCACACACATGGGTTATTTTGGTGTGTATGTATGGTATAGGATAGTATGCTGCCTGTAGAGTGTGATAGGATGATTTGGTTCAGGTGTGATGTGATGGGATGTTATGGTGAATGCATGAGGCAGGATGTTACAGTCTGTGTGTGAAATGGGATAATACAGTGTGATCATGCATGAGACAGAGCACCATATTGCGTGTGTGCGTGGTATGGTGTGTAAGTGAGGCAAAATGTTACATTGCATGTATGCATGTGATGGGATGTAATGGTTTGTGCATACATGAGATGGGATGTTATGGTGCATGCATGAGAGGGATGTTACGCTGTGTGCGTGAGACAGGATGTTACATCGTGTGTGTGAGAAGAGATGTTATGATGTGTATATGAGAGGATTTGTTGCAGTACACATGAGAGGGGATGTTACTTTGCATGTGTGTGTGAGACAAGATCTTACAATGTGTCTGTATGTGTGATGGGAAGTTAGATGATATGACGAGTGGCATGTTTTGTGATGGAATGTAACAGTCTAACTATAAGGGATTAAAGAATAGCTAACAATAATTTTATCTTTTTCACAGGTGAGTTTATCCGAGCACTTTACGAATCTGAAGAGAACTGTGAGGTAGACCCAGCCAAGTGCACCTTTTCCACTTTGGCTGATCACCAGGCTAACCTGAGGATGTGCTGCGAACTGGCACTTTGCAAGATCGTCAACTCACATTGGTCAGTGATGTTATTTGACAGATGTAAGACCAGTAGAAATCAGACAGTGATGTCAGGTATGGATGTAAGAGCACTGTTCAGACAATCGTGGAACCTAAAAGAGCAAGTCAGAGATATTCTACTTCACTGAATATTATCTGGCATGTTTTGTTGCAATTTATTCCAATTGAAACCAGTGTTCAAATCCAATTATTGAGGGAATGACCCTCTATGATTAGGTTGTATCTTTCCTCACTTCTGGCACCCTAGTACAAATCCAGGTTTGATAGAAAGGGTGAACCATTCTTTCAACAAAGAGATTGGATAATGAAGTGAGTGACGGAACTGTACATCATTTCTGAGACTGCAATTCAAATTTGGTGTATTGAGGGTAAAGTGATTCAAACATTCGTGCAGAGGAGAAATGGGATAAAGTGAAACAAACCCTCATCAAAGAATGGACTGATAATATACTGGGTAGACTTTCAGTCTGCTGGCTAAGTTGAACCTGACTAATAGAACCTTTGCATTAATGGTGTTCAAAACCAAATACTAGAACTAAAAAGACTATACCAGGACTGAGAGTTTAAAATTATGTGCAGACAATATGGGAACGTAAAAGTTGAGGCCAGAAATATAAGATACTTAACAAAAAAAAAGTAAGGAATTGTTCAACCAGAGAATGAACAGAATGTGGAAGTTTTTATTTTAAGAAAAAGGAAAGTAGCTAGGGAGTCAAGAATATGTGTATGTGGCGAGATAAAAGTGTTGAAGGTTGCATGGAGCATAAATCTTGGCACAGAGGTGGTGGAAAGGTTTTATTTCTGTTACAATAAACAGGTAATCTAACCTACTGCATTTCCTCTAGATCTAAGAGTTCAAATTCAAGGGTGTCAAGTGGACAGAATTTACTTTTCTCATTTCCCCCTTTCGAACTAGTATCACTGAGATCTCAGTGCTGATTCGTGATTGATAGCCATGAGAACTTTAAACAGCTAACCTTACACAGGAGGCCTCATTATTGATTTTGACTGTCTGTGCCTAGAAGTCACAGTTACAGTGTGATTTCAATTGATATATAATTTTGTTCTTATTTTGATCACTCATGTTTTGCTGAATCAAACAAGCTTTACATCTATCTCCAAATTCTTATCCATTTCTGGATATGACAATAGCATAGGCTACATTCCAGTTCCTTGTCAAAACAATTATCTTTTGGCCTGCAGAGTCGAATTTTAGAAAGGTATTTGACTTTGGCTGTCTTGCTGTCTCTAGCATCCATAAACGCGACCTGCCTGAAAACACCCAACAGCAATCAGCGAAGCAATTCTGACCCATTTTCCTCCTCCAATACTGAAATTAAATGAAACCTGTCTCTGTGAACCCTAAATTTAATATACAGACTTTTAATCAGTCAGGGAATCAAGGGTTGTGGAAACAAGGCAGGAAGAAGATTATCAAGATAGCTGTAATCTCATTGAATCCAACACCCACGCCCTCCACCTCCTCCAAAACTTCCAATTCCCTGGTCCCCAACACCTCATCTTTACAATGGACGTCCAGTCCCTATACACCTGCATTCCCCATACAGATGGCCTAAAGGCCCTCCGCTTCCTCCTGTCCCGCAGGCCCAACCAGTCCCCCTCCACTGACACCCTCGTCTGCTTAGCCGAACTCGTCCTCCCCCTCAACAACTTCTCTTTCAATTCCTCCCACTTCCTACAGACAAAGGGGGTGGCCATGGGTACCCACATGGGCCCAAGCTATGCCTGCCTCTCTGTAGGTTACATGGAACAATCCCTCTTCCGTAGCTACACTGGCCCTAAACCCGGCGCCGCCTCGTGCTCCCATGAGGAACTCGAACAGTTCATCCACTTCACCAACACCTTCCACCCCAACCTTAAGTTCACCTGGACCATCTCTGATACCTCTCTCTCCTTCCTGGACCTCTCTATTTCCATCTCTGGCAACCACCTGGAAACCAATATCCATTTCAAGCCCACCGACTCCCACAGCTACCTAGAATACACCTCCTCCCACCCACCTTCCTGCAAAAATGCCATCCCCTATTCCCAATTCCTTCACCTCCGCCGCATCTGCTCCCAGGATGAGGCATTCCACTCCCGTACATCTCAGATGTCCTCGTTTTTCAAGGACTGTAACTTCCCCCCGTCAGTGGTCGAGAACACCCTCAACCATGTCTCCCGCATTTCCTGCAACTCATCCCTCACAGCCCCTCCCTGCAATAACAACCAAAACAGAATCCCCCTCGTCCTCACGTACCACCGCATCATCCTCCGACACTTCCGCCATCTGCAATCCGACCCCACCACCAAAGACATTTTTCCCTCCCCACCCTTATCTGCTTTCCGGAGGGACCACTCTCTCCGGGACTCCCTTGTCCACTCCACACTCCCCTCCAGCCCCACCTCACCCGGCACATTTCCCTGCAACCGCAGGAAGTGCTACACCTGCCCCTACACCTCCCCCCTCACCCCCATCCGACGCCCCAAGAAGACTTTCCACATCAAGCAGATGTTCACCTGCACATCTGCTAATGTGGTATACTGTATCCGCTGTTCCCGTTGTGGCCTCCTCTACATCGGGGAAACCAAGCAGAGGCTTGGGGACGCCTTTGCTCGGTTCGCACTAAATAACTGCACCTCCCAGTCGCGAACCATTTCAACTTCCCCTCCCATTCCTCAGACGACATGTCCATCCTGGGCCTCCTGCAGTGCCACAACAATGCCACCCACAGGTTGCAGGAACAGCACCGCATATTCCACTTGGGAACCCTGCAGCCCAATGGTATCAATGTGGACTTCACAAGCTTCAAAATCTCCCCTCCTCCTACTGCATCCCAAAACCAGCCCAGCTTGTCCCCGCCTCCCTAACCTGTCCTTCCTCCCACCTATCCCCTCCTCCCACTTCAAGCCCCACCCCCATCTCCTACCTACTAACCTCATCCCACCCCCTTGACCTGTCCGTCCTCCCTGGACTGACCTATCTCCTCCCTAACTCCCCACCTGCACTCACCTTTACTGGCTCCATCCCCGCCTCTTTGACCTGTCTGTCTCCTCTCCACATATCTTCTCCTCTATCCATCTTCTATCTGCCTCCGCCTCCCCCTCTCTCCCTATTTATTTCAGAATCCCCTTCCCCTCCCCCATATCTGAAGAAGGGTCTCGGCCTGAAACGTCAGCCTTCCTGCTCCTCTGATGCTGCTTGGCCTGCTGTGTTCATCCAACTCTACACCTTGTTATCTCTGAATCACAGAACATATTCAGTGGTTTGAATGGCCTACTTCTGCTATTTCCTATAGTCTAAACTCTTATTCTCAGCCATCATCAGTCCAAACATTTGACACAAATGGAAAAAGAACCTTCCAGGCCCAACCTACCAGACCAAGCATGTCACTTTCAAATATGTTCCAGGAAGATAAACTTGGACTGTCATGCACATACTGGGTCTTTCAAAGTGTGATCTACAGCATCCATTTAGTCCTATACCATTGCGCTATCCTCATCTGAATTTTTTTCACACAAGGGCTTACCCAATTCTTTTTTGAAAGTCATTATTGACTCTGTTTACAACACACCTATTGCATCCCCTCATTGTAACTCACCACATAAATGGCTTATTGGAAAGACTGAGGTGAGTGGTATCATTGAGCCAGTGTTAAACACATATGGCTGCTTTTAATATACAGTTTTCTGCAGCTGGTAAATAGGATGCCATGTTAAATGTCACACCATATGGTGCCTTTGTTCTTCAAGTGGCTAACTTTGACAATTTCTTACTTTTGCTTCCTTTAAAGTGTCTTTCCTCGTGAACTGAAGGAAGTCTTTGCTTCGTGGAGGCATCGCTGTGCTGAGCGTGGCAGGGAAGACATTGCTGACCGCCTGATCAGTGCTTCCTTGTTCCTCCGCTTTCTCTGCCCTGCCATCATGTCACCCAGCCTTTTCAACTTGATGCAGGAATATCCGGATGATCGCACCTCCCGAACTTTGACCCTTATAGCGAAAGTTATTCAAAACCTGGCCAACTTTACCAAGTAAGTCCTTCCAGGCATGAGGAAGCTGCAGCCCACCAACCTTCTCAGTGGGTAATGTAGCCTTTGGGGCTGGTGTAAGGGATTTGGGAGGTAAGTGTTAGTGGTGACCCTGTACAAGAAATCCGACTGGAAGAATATAATTGTAGGTGCAGTCCAGTAATATTGCTCATATGGTGTCTTTTTAATTGATTGGTAAGTTTGTAATTGTTCAAACATTTGGTTAATTTTTAATATTTGCTAACAATCAGTGCTGTTATTTTGTTGGGTTGATAAGGAATATTGTTATTTGTCTATACTACTTTGTGGAGGTATACAGGATATTGTCACATATCCTTTGCCTTTGAAATATGTTTGAGGACTAGAAAATACTGACAACTATTAAATCTGTAAATGAGGTACCAATACATACGCACGAAAGATTCTTCAGGGACCTCACAAATGTGTCATCCTGACATCCATTGTGTTAGAAATATATTTGATGGAGAAATGTGGAATCCTGATGTCATGTTCTATGTGCATGCAATTGGCAAGTAAGCTTGTTCTGTTGTAGATTCTGTGATTAGCTGCTGTCAATTGTTGTGCAGGCCACTGATATCTTGAATTGTTTATTCTATTTCAGACAGATATTCCTCACATTAGTGATCATTCATGTTCTGTAGTATTCAAAATGACATGAGCCATGAAAAATAAGTATGTAGATTGTATATTTTAAAACTTTACGAAGTGGTAGAGAATCACACAATGATGCAGCATAGGAGACAGAATCATATTCACTCTTTAGCTCTTTGAAAGAGCTGAACTAGTATTCTGTAACCTCAATGCTTTTTCTCCAGAGCCCTCCAAGGTTTTTCCTGTCAAGTACTGTTGAATGTGCTTCCATCAGGCAGTGCATTTTAGATCACAACTATGTACTCCACCAATTATTTTGTTTTCTTGTTAATAATTTTAAACCTGTGGGTCTCTGGTTATCCCAACGGAAAGTGTTTTTTAAACATACTTTTACGATCTGCCCTTCATGATTTTGAACATCTCTTAAAACTCCCACAATATTCTCTGCTGTGAGGAAACGATCCCAGTTTTTCCAATCTGCTCTCATAACTGAGGTGTTTTATTATGGCCATATTCTTGTGAATCTCCTGGGTACCCTCAGTCTAAGTCTTTGGGCACCCCACATGAAAAAGGATATCAGAATTGACAATTATTGAGAAGTAATATTTAGATTTTTGTAACAATCAAAGTCTCATACAGCCATTCCAGAATAATTGGATATGTGGTTATTTATTTGGAGATACTTACAGTTCTTATTCTACCTGCTTTATCTACACCTACAGGTACGACATATGTTTTCTCATTTGTTGTGGAGACAGATTAGAGATGGATTGAAGTAGCTTGTGTTGCTATTGTGCTGCTTTTCTTCCTCCTCCATCTGTTTAGGTTTGGCAGCAAGGAAGACTACATGTCGTTCATGAATGAGTTTCTGGAGCTGGAATGGGGTAGCATGCAGCAGTTTCTGATGGAGATCTCCAATCCAGACACAGTTACCAATGCAGCTAGCTTTGAGGGCTACATCGACTTGGGCAGAGAGCTCTCCACGCTGCACTCCCTCCTGTGGGAGGTGCTGCCTCAGCTCAGCAAGGTGAAGTATTTAAACCTGCACAGACCATAGAGTCGGAGTCACGCAGCATGAAAACAGACCCTTCAGTCCAACCAGTCCATGCTGACCATAATCCCAAACTAAACTAGTCCCACCTATCTGCACTTGGGCCCATATCCCTCCAAACATTTCTTATTCATGCACTCCTCTAAATGTCTTTTAAGGGTTCTAATTGTACCCACATTCACCATTCCTCTGGAAGTTCATTCCACATATGAACCACCCTGTGAAAAGAAGTTGCCCATCATGTCTTTTTAAAATTTCTCCTCTCACCTTAAAAATGTGCCAAGCAGTTGAAATTGCATACCCTGAGGAAAAAGACCCTTGTCATTCACCTTATCTAGACCCCTCTTGATTTTATAAACCTCCTATAAAAGGTCACCTCTCAACCTCCGACAGTCCAGTGAAAAAAGTCCCAGCCTATCCTGCCTCTCTTTATAATTTAAACCTTCCATTCCTGGCCATATCCTGGTAAATCTCTTCTGAACTCTCTCTAGCGTAGTAATATCCTTCACTTAAAAGATGTAGGGAACTTCATGGAGTCAGTAAGAAATTGGTTGGCTTCACTGGACTCTGCACAGGCTATGCATTTTCAGAGCTCTTTGGATCATTTCACTTTCTATACTTCAAATGCTAATATAATTGTTTGGGGCCATTAGCATTATAAATGGGGTCTGATTGGAGAGATTGGGAACATATCCCTGGGAACTACTATTTCAGCCACCTTTGGATTCTATGATGGAAAGTGTTTGGACCCACTAGAATTCAGTATAAATTTAGTAGTTGGATTCTCCTATTGGAGTGAATGGAAGGGACATAATGTCTGCGTGGGTTTCCTCCGGGTACTCCGAATTCCTCCCACAGTCCAAAGATGTGCGGGTTAGGTGGATTGGCCATGCTAAATTGCCCATAATGTTGAGGGATGTGTTGCTTAGATGCTTATAGGAGGAATGGCTCTGGATGGGATGCTCCAAGGGTCGGAGTGGACTTGTTGAGCTGATGAGCCTGTTTCCACACTGTAGGGATGCTGTAAAGCTGAGTCTGTCAGGTTAGTATAAGATGACTGAAAAGGATGTGCTTGAGTCAAGTTATACTCTACATTGCAAGTGGGGAGTGTGTGAATCCATTATCAATTAGAAAATGGTTTGTTAATTGGGATTCTGTAGAATGAAAGGGAAGTATTGAGCACCATTGGCATTTCTTCATGCGCAATAAATTGAAAGTGCTTGGTTCCTTTAAGATTCTATATATGTGAAGTGAATGGACTTATTGGGTTTCATCATTCTGCTGAGTGCAGTTTTAATCAATTGTTAATTTGTTGTTGCTGCCTCCTAAAAATACCTTTCCTGTGTTTTTCCAGGAAGCTGTGCTGAAACTGGGGCCCCTCCCCCGTCTCCTCAATGACATAAGTGGAGCATTGAGAAATCCATCGCATGTACAGCGACAATCCAGCCATATAGCAGAACGCTACACTTCTGGGCCCAGTATCAACCGTGGTGTTTCATCTGACCTTCAGAAGTACACAGTTAAAGATCTGAACAGGTGAGGAGGGGAAGGAACTCTGTTCACTACACAAACACTCACATAGCAGATTCAGCACATATTAGATACACTAAAACATCCTTTACAATATTCCATCAAACACTCCCTATACAGGTAACACTATGAATTAGATGAATTTCTGCCTTCACTGTCCCAGCAATGTTCCCCAACTTAAATATCTCTGTACCATTGAGAAGTGCTTGCCACATAGCCAAGTTCCATTGCCAATTCCACTGGCAATAAATTTAAGTTGTAGCATTTTTAACTGACTACATTTACATTGAAAATAGGAAATTAGAAGGCAACTTTGCTTTTTTGAAACAACTGTTAAAGAAAAAAGGTGCAGTCGTAGCATTTCCAGACATTTGAATTTGATTCTCAAAAAGCCATTTATCATTTCTGGTGATGAAAACTCTGCTGTAAACTTTTTACATCCTGTTGGCTTGCTGAGTAACCCAGGTAAAATTTTGAGAGCAACATTGGGGCACTGGCATGCAACAAGGCTGAAAAAAACAAAGTAAGTTGAGGTCAGTTGAGATTCAGGATCAAGAATACAAAGTTTGGGCTTTACAAATGAAGTACATTCTGGGTAGAAACAACATCAACAGGAGTAAAATCTGAATTTTAATACACTCTTACCATGGTAAAATGCCCCAAGACATTATCCATCAAAATCTGACATTGAACTGGACAGGATATTAGGGCATGATCAAACCCTTGGTCAAGTGGTAGGATTGCCACAAAAGGTGGAGGGAAAGGTAGAGAGGTTTAGGAACAGAAGTCAACAGCTTAGGAGAATTGAAGGCACAGCTACTGATAGAAGAATAAAGGTAATCGAAGATACAGAAAAGGTGAGAATTGAAGCAAGTAAGCTCTTGAAGCAAGTTAAGAAACAGAGACATGCTAACAGCCAAAGTAGTCTGAAAACAACGAATCTCTGAGCTAAATATATTCAGGCCTAGTTAGTAATTGGATGGGAGACTGCATGGCGATACCAGGTGCAGTAGCTTTTTCTCCCCCCTTGCTGAGGTTTGTCATAAACCGAGAAAGCTCAGCGGATTTTCTGGGATAAAAAGCAACACTGGGTTACTGAAGTATGAGCAGTGGGTGGATTCAGTCACTGGTATGCCTCGACACCCAGATAGCAACTTTCTACCTTCAGACCTTGCAGTGATACCTTTTATGTTAAGCCTCCTCTAAGGTGATGCACCATCTTTCTTCTGTCAGGTGCATGGTCTCAATTATGATATGCAGTTCCTGTTTAGAGTGGTTTTGCCTCAGACCTTCTTCCAGGAATTGCCCTTTTTTGTTAATTTGGTCCTGATTAAAGCTTGGGACATGGTTGGCTATCATAGATGAGCCACTGCCCGGGAACACGCTCCTCCATCAGTACGGGTCTGGCTGGCTGACAGAGAAGGGAACTCGGGACACTGGGCTGACCAGAGTTGGGGATGCGCTGGATGTCAGAGAAGCAGGCTCAATAACACTGGAATAGCTGGCTATGAGTATCAGTCAACGTCTAGGACATATCCAGAGCTTCACGTGTGAAGTATTCAGCCCTAATACATTGCAAAAAAGAAAAGAATTGAGGCAGCTCAAGCGTGTGGTGAACTTCTGGATAAACTGACCAACATCCATCCAGAACTCAACACTACCACCACAAAATGGACCCTCTCCAGGATGTGGTATCCCACAATTTTAGCGGTCTCAGGGAAATTCCCCCTTGCCCTTCAGAACAGCACGATGGCATTTCCTGTACAGGCTGCTGCTGTACAGTGTCTACTTCTTCAACTTTGCCCTCTGGCAGAAGAGATCTTAAATGAAGGGCTCTCTACAAAAGAGTCCTTCCTTTTTCCATAATGGATCTGGGGTGAACAGTTTTGCACACAGCATTCCCGTGTAATCACAAACTTGGTAAATACACTTGGTGCCCAGGATATACATAGTTTTTGTGGCCTGGATGAAACAATTTTTCACATTTATGTTAATTGTTTTTCATTGCAGCCCCTCTAGTTTTTTTTTTGAACAGGCTGCTCGTAGCCTTTTAGTTGCACTTCAGCCCAATGCTCCTAATTTACAGGCATCCTATACAGGGGAGGGCGGACATGCTGGAGAGCCTGGTCTAAGTGCCCATTAATAGATCCTGACAGTGGGCCTTTGAGGGGATTGTTGTGCCTGAATGTCTGTTCCTCTTTCACAATTACATCCATGCCTGGGTGTGTTGAGAGGGAGCAGCAGAATAGAGTTCTTCAGAGACCAGTGGGCACTGGTGGGCATCATCAATAAAGTTATTTTGATATGTTAAGTTTCTGTTCACCTTATAGAAGTTTTCATTGACTGTTGGTTTTTATTTTTGTTATGGTTCCCCGTCAGATCGTATTTAACCCTTATTTTAGGTTTAAAAGAGGAGAAACAGAGAGAGGTGAGGCTTTGGAGGACCCTAAACAGGAGAACTTTAAATAGAGATATTGTTGCATGAGGAGCCAATGTAGGTCTGCAAGCACAGGTGAATGAAACTTGGTATGTGTTAGGATTTTGGATGAGGGTGAAAAGGCAAAGGAATGCAGTGTGGTTTTTCACAGTTCTGAGAAAACTGAGAGGGAATCAGTGGGTGAAAGTGGAACACTGAGTCTTCCTATTCCATCTAATTTGGTGCTGTTATTTTTCTTTTAATTCACAGCTCAATCGATATGACCAGGCTTCCTTCCCCAACCAAGGAAAAAGGAAAGGATGTCTTTTATGTGACAAGGCCTCCTCTTGCTCGCTCCTCCCCAGCGTACTGCACAAGCAGCTCTGATATCACAGAACCCGATCCTAAAATGATGACAACGAACAAGAGCATTTCCATGATGGATCTGCAGGACAGCAGGAGTATGAACAGCATAAGTAATCTCCAAACTGTTGGAGACATGCTAAACAGCAGTCAGGCATCAATTGGAACTACAGTAGGCCTCAGACCCAGCCGGCTATCACAGGGTAGTGGATCGAGTGTGTCAGGTGGCCTGCGGTTGGGACAAATGGGTATCACCACAGACGGATTACATGGACAACTGAGAGTCCCTTTGTCCTTTCAGAATCCCCTGTTCAACATGACATCTGATGGGCCTGCCTCACTACGGACTCCCGCCGAGCCTGGTGCTGGCCTCTTGGGTTACCATGGTTACAGCAAGAGCGAGGACCTATCTGCAAACAAGCAGATCTTCCATAGCCACAGCTACAGTGATGAGTTCGCCCGGCAGAACAGCGAATTCAGCCGCCGGCAGCTTTCACTCACTGATAACCTCCAACACATGCTGTCGGCAGCTCCACCTAACATCGGCCCCCAAAGGAGGATAGACCAGCCACCACCTGCCCCTCCACCTCTTGTCAGAGGGAAAACGCAGCAGCTTACTGTTAGTGCAGCCCAGCGACCACGACCACCCAGTGCCAACCTATTGCAATCACCTGCTGAGCCAACACATGGTCCCAAGGTGCGGCAGCAGTCAATTATGGCCAAAGCAGACACCCCAGCTCCAAAATCGGGCATCACCAAACAGGTGTGTTCCCTGTTTCTCAATAAATGGGACCAACGTGCTGGCTGTTGTCAGTTTTGGCTCAGTAGATAGCGTTCTCGCTCAAGTCATAAGGTTGTACAAAGAACATACAGCACGGGAACAGGCCCTTCGGCCTTTCAAGCCTGCACCAACATATTTTGCCCTTCCATACTTAAAACTGTTTTCACTTACAGGATCCGTATCCCTCTATTCCCTTCCTGTTTGTGTATTCGTTCAGGTGTTTCTTGAATGCTACTATGGCGTCTACTTCCACCACCGCCTCTGGCAGCGCATTTCAGGCACTCACCACCCTGTGTGAAAAACTTGCCTCGCACATCTCTTTTAAAGTTGCCTCCCAACCCTGGCCTTGAACCTGTATCCTCCATCCTGGGAAAAAACCCCATACTTGCCACTCTATCAATGCCATTCACAATCTTATAAACTTCTTTCAGGTCGCTCCTCAACCTCCTACATTCCAGTGAAAACAAACCCAGTCTATCCAACCTTTCTTTGTGGCTAAAATCCTGGATACCAGGCAACATCCTGGTTAACCTTTTCTATATCCTCTCCAAAGTATCCACATCCTCTGGTAGTGTTTGACCAGAACTGTACACAATATTTTATAAAGCTGCAGTATAACTTGCCCATCCTTATACTCAATGCCCCTCCCAATGAAGGCAAGCAGATCATAGCCCTTTTTTTAAAACCACCTTATCTACCTGTGCTGCCATCTTCAGTGATCTGTGGATCTGCTCACACAGATCCCTCTGTGTATTAATACTCCTAAGGGTTCTGCCATTCACTGTATAACTTCCTGCTGTATTTGACTTTCCAAATGCATCACCTCAAATCTGTCCAGATTAAACTCCATCTGCCATTTTTCTGCCCATGCCTCCAGCCAATCTATGTCCTGCTATATCTTCTGACAATCCTCCTCACTATCCGCAACTCCACCAATCTTTGTATTGTCTGCAAACTTACTAATTAGACCCAGCTACGTTTTCCTCCAAATCATTATGTAGACCATGAACAGCAGAGGTCCCAGCACTGATCCCTGTGGAACACCTCCAATCACAACGCTTTTCCGAAAAGCATCCTTCCACTGCTACCATCTATTTGCTATGACTAAGTCAGTTCTGTATCCATCTTGCCAGCTCACCCACGATACCATGTGACTTCACCTTTTGTACCCATCTGCCACGAAGGACCTTGTCAAAGGCTTCACTGAAGTCCACATAGACAATATCAACTGCTTTTCCCCTCATCAATTATCTTTGTCACCTCCTCAAAAAACTCAATCAAGTTAGTGAGCACGATCTCACCCACACAAAACTATGCTGTCTATCGCAAATAGATTTATTTGCTTCTAGATGTGTATAGATCTGTCCCAGAGAATCTTTTTCAGTAGTTTCCCTACCACCAACGTGAGGCTGAAGGGTCTGTAAATTTTCTGGATTATCCCTGCTACCCTTCTTAAACAATGGGACAACAATGGCTATTCTCCAGTCTTCTGGGGCCTCATCCATTGTCAAAGAGGATACAAAAATGTCTGTCAATGCTCCATCAATTTGTTTTCTTGCCTCCCTCAATATTCTGAGATACGTCCCCTGGTTCTGATGGGGATCTAGCTACCTGAATACTTTTTAAGACACACAACAGCTCTTCCTTTTAATAGCAACTTGGCTTAGAAATTCAGTACTCCCTTCCCTGAGATCATCCTCCACCAATTCCTTCTCTTTAGTGAATACTAACACAAAGTATTTGTTTAGGACCTCAGCTACGTCTTCTGTCTCCACACACAGATTCTGTCCTGTTGTGCACTTAAGTTCAACTCCAAAGACATCTATTTTAGGCTGGTACAGTAATGAGGGACTACTGCACTGTTGAAGGTGCAACCTCTCAAATAACACATTAACTCAACTCTCCCTCTGCCCTCCGCAGTGGATGTAAAAGACTGTAAGATACTATTTTGATGAAAGCAGGGAAGTTCACCCTGGTTTCCTAGCCAATCAACATCACTAAACATCACATTATCTGCAGCTCTGTTTTATTTTAATGTAAATCTGAAACCAAAGCAGAAATTACTGGAGAAATTCAGCATGTCTGACAGCATGTGGAGAGAAAGCAGAGTTAAATTTGAGTCCAGTGACACTTCTTCAGAGATTGTCTGGTCATTATCTCATTGTGCAGTGCAAGCTCTCATGGAAACAATTTGGCTATCACAATGTTCACATTAAAACAGCAATTACATTTTAAAAGTACTAAATTGACTATACACTTCTTTGAGACATCTTGAGGATGTGATAGATATGATGAATATGCTGTTTCTAGCAGACACGAAGTCCTTGTAATATCATACAGAATGGGAACAGACCCTTCTGTCCAACCAGTCCATGACGACCATGTTCCCAAACTAAACCAGGCCCACCTGCCTATGCTTGGCCCATATCCCTTCTACCCTTGCCTATTCATGAACTTATCCAAATGTCTTTTAAATATTGTAACTGTACCTGCATCTACTGTTTTCTCTGGTAGTTCGTTCCACACACAAACTACTCTGTGTAAAAAGTTTGCCCCCCGTATCCTTTTAAATCTTTCCCCTCTCACCTTAAAAACCCCTTAGTTTTGAACTCACCCACCCTAGGGAAAAGACCCTTGTCATTCACCTTATCCTATGCCCTTTATGACTTTATACATCTCAAAACTCAACCTCCGATGCTCCAGTGGAAAAAGTCCCAGGCTTTCCAGTCTGTATTTATATACACAGAAAACTTCAAAGACAGGAAGATAGCAGCTAGTCCATCTAACTTGTCCTACACTCTTGTCATCCGTTATGCTTCACAATACACAGGACCATGAGAAGGTCATTCAGCACTTCAAGCATCTTCCTCAATTCCATTTACCCACCTTTGCTTATCACTCAGTGCGCTTAAATGACTAAAAACTGACCAATCTGAATCTTGAAAATTCTAACCAACCACATTGACAAATGTTGTCACAGTACACGGAATTAATAGCATGGAACTGGGCCATTCAACCCAAAGTTTTTATTCCACATGAATTGAAAGAGTAGGTGGACAGATATTTGAAATATCTGGAAATTAACAGCTGAGATTATTAACTCCTGTTTTGTCATTTCAATGGCAGCAACTTGTATTACTTGCTATATTCCTTTGGTACAGCACAGCTGAAGTCAGGCAATTCATCTCCCTTGTAAATTTCACACTCTGCATTTATCCAACAAATAATTTTAAAAGGATGGAAAGTAATGGAATTGTACCCCAAAGTTTATTGTGCTAAAATTAAGTCTTAATTTTAAATTTAATTTTAATTTAAACATTTTGTTCAATCAATTATCTGAAGTCTCACTTCACACTTCATGCTTTACGTGCCACCCATGTTCAAATGAAGTTAGTCAAGTCTCATGGGAGATCCATGACCGCTGGAATCGCCACCATTGGAATGGTGGCCCTGTACTCTGTAGGGTGGGAAAGGGTTATGCAGCAGTTGAGCATTTCCAAACATCCCATTTGGCCAATTCTAGATCATACACTCCCTCTGAATTATTTTGACTGCAGTGTAGATCAAATTTGATAGAACAGCTGCGCTCTCCCTGTCTGACATTTTCCAAGGGTTACAAGGGCTGACCCAAGAAAGAGAGGAGCTATATTTTATGTTTAGATCACCACTTCGCAACTGATTGCCACACTTTATTACTTTGGTCCTGATTCCTCCAGTATCTGGTCCCAACACACAGACATACTTATGTTTGGAGGTCACTGTGGGAGGAGTGTAGGTAGCTTCTGATTAGACAGTATCCTAACAGCCCCACTTCTTGTTTTGGCACCAGATGAAGATAGGAAGAATCTATGTACACCTTCAATGGAATTTTCCAACATGGGAAAATGTATTGGGAACCTAACAGAAGCATATTACTCCTGGTCTATTAGAATCACATGCCCCAATCTCCTCTCCCCTTCCCACCTAATCCACAAACCATCACATCCCAAAGTCCATATTTACCTGCCCCAGATGTCTCCCCAGCCCAAGAACCGCCAAGCTCTGAAGTTTAGTGCCAATCGTCTCTTTCGCCTTGCAACAAAAAGTATGTCTAAAGGAAAGAAAACGGTGGCAGTGCAGGAGGCAAAAAAAAAGACCAACACTGTGTAATGTGTCAGAGGCTACTTTAAATTCAGTAAAAGATGCTTCATAATGCCATCTGCTTTTGTCCCTCAGGCTTCCCATTCACCCTCAACTCTTCACCCCGTCACACCTTCAGAGCGTACTGTTGCCTGGGTGACCAACATGACCCACCTTTCTGCGGACATCGAAAGCTCACACCTAGAACGGGAAGAGTATAAATTACGGGAATACTCCAAGTCGATGGATGAGAGCAGGCTGGACAAGGTGAAAATGTGGCTGTGTTGACCAGGATTATTGGTGTTTAGGGGAGTTAGAATCGTGAGGAAAGTTTAAATTAGAGGCCTATAAATTGTCAGGCCAACGCCATTTGCCTATATTGAACCCTGGTTCTTAACACCAGAACAGTGATTTGTGCATATCGGTAGGTGTTACGAGGCAGTTCACAATTTGAATGAGGACACTGCATCACCAGTAGGTCAGCAAAGTCAAGGAAAGTTGACTGGAAGAGAGCAGTGATCAACCAGATATAAACAAGAGGAGAGACCTGGATTAGAAAGGGGTAATCAGGAGAGGGAAGTGATTGTTAAAGGTGAGACAATCAACTTGAGCAATGACGAAGAGATACACATACCCATTAAGAGGTGGTAATAAATAGAAGCCAGTAGCTTTGAAAAGAGGTCAGCAGAAGTGCTCTTGCACTTCAACCCTACATTCAGGCATATTTTAACACAAGGTTACTGGATGTCTGTCCATATTACTGTTTCCGTATTGAATTGTAATCCAGCATAGGCATAAAAGAAGGCGGCAGCAATTTTAGGCCATGCTATTTCCTATTCTATTTGTCAAATTTTCTTCAATATAGAAAGTTTTTTTTTGTGACTCGTTAACCATGTTTGGTCTTAACTTGAATGACAATAATTAGGTGATTCAATGGACAATAGGGAATCCCATACCCCTCACCAAGAAATGACAGTGGCCAAAGCATGAAAATCACAACTCTTGAGGCTCTCTTCCTAATGAGTCAGGTTCCATGTTATATATACTGAATGATGTGCCAACAACAGCCCCCAACACACTCCATACCATACCATGATATGACAGGTTATGTGTCATCTATTTCCCCCCTGTGATCCAATTCCGCAGGGGCAACAGACACAATATGAGGAGGAGATTCTTTCCCTAAAGGAACGGCTGCAGATGTCAAACCGCAAGCTAGAGGAGTATGAGCGGCGGCTGATGTCACAGGAGGAGCAGACGGGAAAGATTCTGCGAGAGTACCAAACACGCCTGGATGAAAGCGAGAATCGTTTGCGTCGGCAACAAGAGGAGAAGGACAACCAGATCAAAGGCATTATCAACAGGTAAATGGTGAAGAGCCAACCCAACCAGTGGTTTGGTTAGGAAACTTTCAGGGCCAGTGACATTTAATGTTGTTTGCCTTGGAGCAGCGAAAGCGACAGGGAACCTGGTAGAGGTATATAAGATTATGAGGACACAGTTAAGGTTGATGGGAAGGCACTTTTTCCATTAGTACAGAGATCGATAATCAGGGCGTAAATTTAAGGGAAGAGGTAGAAGGCCAAGAGGAGAGTTGATGAGAAACATTTTTTCCTGGACGGTGGTGGGAGACTAGAATTTGCTCCTGAAAGTGTAGTTGAGACAGAAACTCTCAAAACATTTAAGTAGTACTTAGATATTCATCCATTTCCATAGCATCCAGGGCAATGAGGTGGGATTCGTGTAGTCAGATTTTTGTTCACCCGCATGGACCCGATTGACCTCCTACATCTGAGTCTATAAGAACTATGAATGGAAAATAGACTGGGCTGGACAGCCCCATCTACATCCTGAAAATGTAAATAAGTTGGCATGGTGTATTCCCAGAAGACACCACCCAACACACATCCAAGGGATATTATATAGAATATACTGCATAAAAACATGTATTTGTGACCAGTCTATACTAGTGATAATGTTCCACTCCACCCTTCTTCAGATATTCTTCATCTAATGCCAGAGTAACCCTCAATTCTTTTCCACCTCACATACTCAACGACAATGGTCCATTTAAGCTGCATAGCCATGCAGCAACTTAGAGGGTCTGCACACACTAGTGAATGCATTGACTTCCAGTTCTGTAAGTTGCTACCATGCATGGACATCAGAGGTTGTAGCTGGGGAAAATATTGATGGAATGTAGCTCAACTAACTTCACCTTTAAATGGATCTGTACTATCCATCTCAACCACTCATTCTCGTACCATGTTCCACCTTCTCATCAACCCAAATTGGCCTCCAGAAATCTCTGGTGAGTCAGTATGCCAAGTCAAAAAAACAGTGTAAATTAGATGTGCATGATATTGTCTTCACCAGTCATGCCAATACTAAACTTGAAGTGTCAACTTTCTACTGGGGCCTCCATTCACTGGGTGTGAGACAAGGAGGATCTTCTCTCAAGTTGGGCTGTGATGCTGGAATTGATATTGTTTACATGGTTGGCACAAACAACATTTCACAATACTCTGCCTCCATGTTGTTGAACAGGGCAGTTTAGGGGGAGACTGTTTCTAACCACATGGTGTACCAATACTGGCAACGTTTGATGCAAAAGTGTAGGGGAGTTTTACTCTGTATCTAACCATGTCACATTTGAACCTGACTGAAATAAACAAAAATAAAATAAAAACTTGTGCAGAGTAAGGCAGAGTTAATATTTCAGATCTATGACCTGAATAGGGAAATTAGGAAGAGGAGAAATGTACAAAAAAAAGGGACACAGACACTCAGATTAACTCTGTTTCTCTGCACACGTGTTGCCTGAACTGTTGAATGTTTCCAACTACTTATTTCAGGCTTCCAGCACCCATAATACTTTGCTTTCACTCTAGTTAATTGATAGGTGTGAAAATGATGGAATTTTGCCACTGAAATATTGGGCAGATCGATTACTGCCGCAAATTAGCCTCTCTGGCTCTGTTTGTGGAACAGATGTCAAGAACTTGCAAAATTAGTAATTCTTAGAGAAAAGTCAACATGTTCCTTTGACACCATGGAAACAGTTCTTTTATGTTGTAGTTAATCTGGTTAACAAAGATGCAACCATCAATAGGTCTCCTGATCAATTAGACCATCATCTTCATAGTTGGCTGCCTTTCATTAGAGGATGACATTTATTTAGAGTCATGAGTCCCTGCTGTCATTCTTCAATTGATTAAATAGGATGATTTTGGCCTGCAGATCTTTTGGCATATGGGTAAAACATCCCACAAGGTAATCAGATTCAGATTGCAGAATTCGCTGATTTTCTTTCCTTCTCTGCCACTGCTGTGCCTCATCATTAAGGCGTTTAGATTCAAAGCATGATACTTCTTGATAGATAAGTTCTCATCATATTGAATGACTAGTGGCAAACTCTTCAGAATTATTAGTGTCAATACTTCTGTATTTCAAAGAGAACTTCAGGGTGCCCTTAAAGCATTGTTTCTGTATGCCCTGGCACAATAGCCATTTGAGAGTTTAGGAAACAAGACTTGGAGTGGGAGAGAATTTTCAGACAACTTGGCAACATGTCCATTCTATTCCAGATAGTTCTGTAGCAGTGCTGTAGTGGCAATGTTGCTACAAATAAGGCTTAAACTAATGCTTGCATCCTACAAACAAGGAACGAAAGTAGGCAAATGAGCCCCTCAAGCCCGCTCCGTCATCTAATGAGATCATGGCTGATCTGTATGAAACCTCAAATACACACTCCCACCTAACCTTGATAACTTGTCCCCCCCTTGTTTAACACAAATTAACCTACCTCTGCCATTCAAATAGTTAAAGACTCTACTTCACTATCGTTTCAGGAAGAGAGTTCCAAAGATTCATGACTCTCAAAATAAAAAAAAAATCCACCTCTTTTGTTTTAAATAGACAACCCTTTAATTTTAAATATTGATGCCTGGTTCTAGATTTCATCCTCTACACATCCAACTTGTCAAGACCAATTAGGATGTTATGCTTCCGTCAAGTCACATCTTAATCTTCTAAAGTCCAGTGGATACAAGCCTAGCCTGCCTAACCAATAATCATAAGTCAACCCTAATATTACAGGTATTAGTCTGGCAAATATTTTCTCAACCACTTCCAATGCATTTACATCCTTCCTTAAATAAAGTGACTCCCACTGCACACAGTATTCCTGATGTAGTTTCAGCAGTACCCTGTATAACTGAAGCATAAGCTCCCTAATTTTGCAATGAATTCCCCTCACACTAAACAACAACAATCTATTAGCTTTCCTAATTACTTGTTGTACATACATGCTAGCCTTGTGATTCATGCACCTGAACATCCAGATTCTTTGGCATCTCAAAATTACAGGGTTTCTCACCATTTAAATATGCTTTTTTTTAAACCCTTCCTGCTAAAATGGACAACTTCACATTTTCGACATTATATTCCATTTGCCAGATCTTTGCCCACACACCAAATTCACAGAATTGCAGGATTATTACAGCATTGGAGGAGGCCATTTGGCCCAAGTTGTCTGTAAATTCTGTTACCTAGTGTCAACCTCTTGCGTTTTCCCCTACAACCCGACACACCATTTTGATCCAAATAATCACCCCCTCTTGAATATCTCAATCGAACCTTTTTTTTAAAAACCACATTTCCAATCAATGCACTCCACTACTTGTCGTGTGAAAAAGATTTTTCTTACATCAAACTTGCTTCTTCTGCACATCACTTTAAATCTAGACCCTTTTTTTTTCTTTTTACAAGCAGGAAAAGCTTCTATCTACTGTATCCAGCCCACTCATGATTATGAAAACCTCTTTCAAATCTCCTCTCAGCCTTCTTCTCTCCAACAAACACAGTCCAACTTCTACAATCTACCCTCATAACTGAAGTTTCTTGCAAGTCATTTCTGCACTGTCTTCAATGCATTCTCGTCTTTCCTATAAAGCAGTACACAGTATTTCAGCTGAGATCTAACAAATGTATCGTACATGTTTAAAATCACCTCCCTACTCTTGTACTCTATTTATGTCTGCACTCTGCATCTTGTTAGCCAGTTAATCTTCCATTCATGCCAATATGCCATTGCCAACAACATGAATTTTTATTTTCCACAATAACTCTTAAATATGGCAGTTTGTTGAATGCTTTTTGAAAATTTAAGTACAGTACATCCACCAGTTCCTCTTTATACACAGCACGTTACTCCAAGTGATGGGTTAAACATGATTTCCTCTTCTCAAAATTATGCCTACCGTACCAAATTATTTTGAACCTAAGTGCTTTGCTATAATTCTTTGAAAATAGCCTTTGACATTTTCCTAATGCCAGATGTTAAGCTAACTGTCTAGGATTTCCTGCTTTCTATCTCCCACTCTTCTTGAATAAACAATATTTGCTATTTTCGAATCCAGTGGTACTTTCCCTAAATCAAGTGATATTTGGAATATTAAAACCAATGCATCAACTTTCTCACTTTCCACTTCTTTTAAGACCCTGGGATGAATTCTATTAGTTAGTTGTCAGCCTGCACTTTAATAATTTACTCAGAACCATTACCTTATTATTTTCCTGATTTGCTTCATCCCTTCCATTTCCTGATTTATAGTTGCTTCTGGGATGTTACTTGTATCTTCTATCATAAAATGATGCAACTTATTTTCAGTTATTAATTCTCCAGACTCGCTTTGTTAACTCTTCATTTTGAAGTATTGTTAGAAACCACTTCTACTTACCTTGCCCTGATTATTCCCTCTTTAAACCTTTTTGTCATTTTTCACTTTTTTAAAATATTCTGTCTAATCTTCTGACTTGTCACCTATTTTAAACAATATGTTTTTTAAAAAATCTAATATGATTTTTAACCTTTTTATTTAACCACGGATGATGGATCCATGCTTAGAAATTTTTCCTACTCATTACAATATGTTGTGTATTCTGAAATATCCACTTAAATTTCTGCCACTGCATCTCTTTTGATCCATCGTTGAACTTACTTTGCCAATTCACTTGAGGACAAAGAACAGCACAGCACAGGAACAGGCCTTTTGGCCCACCAAGACTGTTAACACATGCTCTTCTAAACTAAAAACCTTTCTCCTCTATACAGTCAGTCAGTGTCCTCAATTCCCTGCCTATTCCTGTATCTGTCAAGATGCCTCTTAAACGTTGCTATTGTATCCACCTCCACCATCTCCTCTGGCAGCACATTCCAGACACTTACTATCATCTTGAAAAACGACCTTACTTCTCATATCTGTTTTAAACTTATACCCTTTTACCTTAAACCTATGGCATTTCTACCTTGGGAAAAACAAAAACTCCAACTATATATTTTATCCACACCTGCCATAATTTTGTTAACTTGTATGAGGTCGCCCCTCGTCCTCCGACATTCAAGTGAAAACAAACCATGTTTGTCTAACCTCTCCTCACTGCTAATATCCAAACCAAGCAACATCCTGGTAAACCATTTCTGTACCATCTCCAAAACCTCCAAATCCTTCTGGTGACCAGAATATTCCAAATGTAGCCTAACTGAAGTTCTGTACAGCTGCAACATGACTTGCCAATTTTTATAGTCTATGCCCCGATCAATGAAGGTAAGCATGCCATAGACCTTTTCTTCCTATCTACTCCACTTGTATGACCACTTTTAAGGAACTGTAGACCTGTATGCCTAGATCCCTCTGTATGTTGATGGTACTAAGGGTTCTGCCATTTACTGTATACTTCCCTACTGCATTTGATCTTCCAAAATGCATCACTTTGTCCAGATTAAGGTCCATCTGCCATTTCTCCACTCGTGTCCAGAATATTTATATTCCGTTGTATCCTCTGACAATCCTCTTCACTGTCCACGGTTCCCTCAATCTTTGTGTTGTCTGCCTACATTCTCCTCCAAAATCATTATATATATTAAAAACAACAGGAGACCACTGGTCACAGATCTCCAGTCAGAAAAACACACTTCCACCATGACTCCATCTTCTCTGACAGAGACAGTTTTGCATGCATCTTACCAGCTCACAGCAGATCCCATGTGACTTCATCTTCTGTATGAACCTACCATGAGGGATCTTGTCAAAGGCCTTGCTGAAGTCCATATAAACATCAACCACCCTGTCCTCATCTTTTTACTTCTTCCAAAAACTCAATCAAGTTTGTGAGACAAGACCTTCCCCGCACAAAGCCACGCTGTCTACTGCTAAGAAGTCTGTATTTTCCAGATGTGAGTAAATCCATATCCCTAAGAATCTTCTCCAATAACTGTCTTACCACTGACATAAGGGGCACCAGTCTGTAATTTCCCAGGTTAAATCTATTGCCCTTCTAAAACAAAGCAACAACATTGGCTATTCTCTTGTCCTAGGGGACCTCTTCTGTGACTAGAGAGGATACAAAGATTTCATACAAGGCCACAGCATTTTCCTCGCCTGTCTCCTTCAGCATTCTGGGAGAAATCAGGTCCTGGTGACTTGTCTGCCTAATACTTTTTAAAAACACCCAACATCATTTTTATTTTGATATGCCTGAGAACATCAACCTACCCCTCCTGAGCCTCAACATGCACCATGTCCTTATCCTTCGTGAATATCAGTACAAAGTATTCGTTAAGGACCTTACCCGCTTCCTCTGGCTTCATGCATAAATTCCCTCCTTTGTCCTTGCATGGATCTACCCTTTCTCTAGCTATCCCTTTGCTCCTTTTATATGTATTTTCCTTAATCCTGTTTTCCAAAGACATTTCATGGCCCCTTTTAGCCCTCCTAATTCCTTTTTGAGTTCTTTCTTACTATCTTTGTATTCTTTGAGGGCTCTGTCTGTATTCAGTTTTCTAAACCTTACACATGCCTCCTTTCTCTTTTTGACTTTAGCCAGTGCTGCTTTCATTCATACCTTCACGGATATTTAAATGGGCCTTTATGTATAATTTTAAAGGAGTCTAGACTTCTGGGGAGGCAGTGGCTGACTCTTAATGGTGTTCTAAAATAGCCAAGTAAGCCATTCAGTTCAAGGACACTTAGGGATACGCAATAAAGTTTGGCTTCACCACCAGCAATGCCCACGTGTCATGAAAAGAAAAACAAACTTTTACTTAAATCCTACTTGAATTAGAATCACACAGGACACTACTATTTGTTTAATCGTTCTCCCATTGTATCAGGATGATGCAGCAGAAGCATTGCTGGTGGAAGTTCTCTAGCTACGAGTATGATTAGACTGTTAGGGACTTCAGTTGTACAAGTACAGCAATAGTGTGTGACATTTTCCAAGACCCCATCCAGCACCCAACTTTTCCATTCAGCAGGTACAGTGCCTACAACTTTTCATCCATTAATGTCAGTGGATGGAAAATTGTAAAGAAATACTCTCAACTTTTCCCATTATCCGCCACTATAGATAACGCCAATCCTATTGGAAACTTCCACCCGTTTCAAGAACAAACCTCTATCCATCCTCTAGTTCCCTCACCCTCCCATCGGACCTGCTCAATCAGATGCATTTGCACCTCAGAATTGATTCAAAACTGCACTCCAGAACTTCAAGCATAAAGGCAGGCTGTTAGGATTGCAAGGGGAGCAATGCGTTGACCTGCAGATGCATTGTTAAATATTTTGGCTGCTCAGTTATTCAGTTGGATATCAAAAGTTGTTACCCAGGTGTTTCACTCTTCCCTCAATAAATTACTGCTAAAAACAGCTTGATCAGCCCTTCACCTTAGTGCTTGTAAGAATACACTACCTCAATTTTCTCCTCACTCAGGTGAATCTTACATTCACTCAATGTACATTTAAGAAAGGCATATATTTATATATCATCTTTCACAACCTCTAATATCCTAAGGCACGTTATGACCAGCTATTTTTGAATGTAGTTATTATAATAGAAGTGGAGCAGCCAAAATGTGCACGACATGCTCCCAGAAACAGCAATACAATAACCAATGTCACAAGAAGTAAATTGTTCGCCTGAAAAATCAAAAGGTCAGGAGACCAGACAAAACTTCCCTTCTCTTCTTTAGAGAAATGGCATAGATTCCATTATGTTCACCTGACAAACAGAGGGGGCGTCCGCTCAGCATCACAGCTAAAATACAGCAGCTCTGGCAATGAAGCAATCCTAGAATCTTGTTAATTTGGGAATAGTCAATGTTAACCTTGATTGTTTATTAGATTATTAGCTTCAAGAGGCTCAGGAATCAGGCCAGGTTTCTAAGGTGCTTTTTTTTCTGATGAGCATTTCACATTTATTTAGTACATTTAATTCTTAGGAGGTGGGTATTGCTCCAAGGATATACATCTTTAATTTTATGCCCTTATGCTAGCTGTCTTTCAACTGGTGCTACCAGGCCGTGTTTTTGAACCATGAATGAATAGTTTGGCCACTGAGGTGTTTCAATCAGTTGTTAAGAGTCAACCACCTTGGCAAGGGACCAGAGTCACAAACAGATCAGACTAGGTAAGAGTGGTAGGTTTCATTCCTTAAAATGAACCAGTTGGATTTTTACAACAAATAACTTTCACCACTTTTCATTTCAAAATTTGAGAAAATTGAATTTAAATCATCAAACTGCAGTCAAGCTGATGTTAGCTCTATCTTCATGTGAGCCTGTGGCAATACTTCAAAGACCTGAGGAGTCTTCCAAAGTGTTCTGGCTAATAATTACTCCAAATCACGATTTACCAGAACAGATTATCCAGTCATTAACACATTGCTGTTTGTAGGATTTTGCTGTGTGCAAATTAACTGCCATATTTCCTACATTACAACAGTTAGTCCAAAGGTACTAAATTGACTGTAAAGCATTTTGAGATGTCCTGAGGCCAAAGAAAGGAGTTCAAAATATTTCATTTTGTTCTCATTACACATTACTGAGCCTCTGCAGGCTTTTACAAGCCACAAATAATGACACACATTGTGACTTTCACATAGGTATGGTTTATTTGCTGTTGCAATGATATAGAATGAGCTGAATACCACAGCAACCACATGCCCTAGGGTATTATAAAACCACTTCTTAAAGCCATTCTATGAAACAAGAAGGACATATGCTGGTGGATGGTGCCAAACTGCATAGGAAAACAGGATGTTGTGAGGAAAGGAATGCATTCATGAGGCCTACAGATACTTAGCAATTTAAGCAGTTGAATGACAGATGGCATTCATGATTCTGAAGTGTAAGTAACTGCAAATGGATTCTAAAAATACATTTTATATAGCACAATGTAGAAAAAAAAGCACAATGAAGAAAGATAGATGGACTTACATTTTCACACTGCCATGCACAACATCAGGATATCCAAAGTGCTTCACAGTCAATTAAGTATTTGAAGTGCAACAATGTAGAGAATGGAGATGCTAGTTTGTGCACAGCAAGCTGCCACTAATAGCCGTTATGATGAGCTTGTGTTTTAGTGATGTTGGTTCAGGAACAAATATTGACCAGAACATCAGACACAATTTCTCCACCATTTATCTTCAAAACAGTGTCATGAATCTTTCACTTCCAATTGAGGGAGCAAATGGAGAGAGTCATTCATGATTTACATCTCGTCTGAAACGCACTGAAGCACTAGCCTTGAATTTTTGGTCCAGTCTTTCTCGTGAATGTAGAACCCACAACTGGAGGCAATCTGACCTGTCAATGACAACTTGAAGATCAGTAAAGAAATGACTGAGACTTCAATTGAGTTTTAGTACATAAACAAAGTCATAAATGGGAATAGATACTAGCAATTCATTCTTTATGTCTCCTCTTAGCATCCTTATTATTGGAGAGAGCTAAGCTGACTGCACTGCCATCTACTAACTTATTCCTCACCGGAACCTCAGTAATGTGTTTCCTCACCTGCTTTCCTATTTTACTAATCTTCAATCCTTCAGAATTTCACCTGAAGCCTGATCTTAAATTATCCAGTCATCTCCACTTTGCAATGCTCATTCAAACGTGGCACTATTTCCCTCAACTTTGCACCCAGGTCCTAAACCCTTATGGGCCTGATTGGCCTTAGCTGCAGAGTTGTGTCTAATTCTGTGCACAGGAAAGATATCTGATTGTGCAGATGAGAATTAGTTGAATTATGCCAGGGAGTTATTGCACAGGAGTCCACGCAATCTGTCATGCATGTACTGCCTCTTAAAGTTGTCCAGCTAGTCCCATAGCCACATCATTTCTCTATAACACTGCAATGTTTTTTGATTCAGTCACATGTCCAATTCACTTTTGCAGCTTATTATTAAGTTGACTTTCTTTTCTATCATTGAAACTAATTGCATAAATTTCTCATCAGCACCCCTGTTCCTTTTGCCGCTCACTGTACCTTAAATCCGTGTCCTCTGGTTACTCATCAATAGAAATAGAGTGATTAAAGCATAAACTATCAAGATCCTTGTCATTATGAATGCCTCTGTTAAATCTTCCTGTTACCTTCTCTGCTCTCTGGAGAACAGACTGGGATAGCGTTCAGGTTTTTTTCCTTTTCTCAGTCTTATTTCCACATAACTGAAGTCCTTCATCTTTGGTACTATTGCAGTAACTCTCCTCAGATCACTCGCCAAAATCTCAGCCTCCTAAAGCCCAGAATTGGTCATATTACTCCAAATGACGCCCAACTCTTAAGATTTATTTTCCTTGCAAATGCAGTTTGACACACAGGTTCAATTATGAAATTTGTGTAAATGTCAGTGATTCCTCCTTCCCCACTACTGACAACTTTTCCTAATTATTGAATTGTCCTGCCCTTTGACTCTGCCTACAGGCTAATGGTGGTGGAAGACGAGTTGAGGAAAGACCACGCCAACATGCAGGAGGCCATTGATGCCAAGCAGCGGATAATCGACGTTCAGGTACAGAAAATCATCACCTCAAAGATCAACAAATGACACTGAGGGAGAAGCGCCAGCAATTCAGTCTTGTCGGGATAGGACAACTCTGGTCAAACCTCATCTGAACAAACTGCTACAGATTGTCTTGCTTTCTTCCCAACTCATAGCAAAGTGGGCTCCCCCCATAACTTGTGTAACAATTGGACAGCTTTCATTTCTAATTCTTGACAGGAAAGCCCCCACTGCCAGTCACCCTTCCTTCAATACCATTTTCGCTTTCTTGTTTAGAATTAAAATGGTGGGGGGCCAACTGCACTGGCACTTTTGTGAAAAACTGGCTGGCACCATCAGGAAAACTTTGGTTACATTCAGTACCATGCACATCTGTGAACAGGGAAATAAAAACAGGTCAGAAATGGGGTGCCCCCATGTTTAAATGTCCTCAGTTTTGTAAGTGCAGCTCAGTTTAAGTCAGCTGCTTGTGAGATTGCGAAGATGAGGTTTGACCAGGTAAATAGTTTGATAGTAAATAGGCAGGGTTCTGCCCTGGTTATGTACAAGTGAGAAAACCAGGAGGCCAATGGTAACCTCACAAGTTTGCTTTTTGTTTTCATTTAATTCCTCTACGGGATTGCCCACCTCCACACTGAATTGGGTGGGCAGGCTTATTAGCTGGCATTTTAAAATGAAGGGCATGTACTCTTACAAAGTGGTCAGAAGGCTGCTCAGTACCACAAGGTATGCAGCAATTTTGCCAACATACACTCAGGTTTGTCGCACTGTTTACACTAATAGCCCCTTTGGAGTAGACCAGATGTTGATAGTTGCCGCTAGATACTAAACCAGACCCACCACATTCTTGTCACCCTAACCCACACCCCCTACCATCACAAAATTCCGATTCCTACTGCAGTGTACCCAAATGGATCGTTGGTGCTCTTGCATCATGTGGTACTTGTCGAGTGTAGGTTATCCAATTGCAGTCTGGCCATTCAGGCACAAGAAGTACCTTCATGCACAAAGAAGACCAAAGAATTGAAACAAGTCAACAGACCCAGCATTGGGTGATGGCTCCCTCCCACTTGGTGTTGTAAATTAGCAACAGAGTGAGGCCAACTCACATTTATTGTGCCCAGCAAAGGCTATGTATATATGCTGACGTGGTTTGAACTGTTTTTAAAAAAGTTCAAGGGAACATATTTCTTGTGCTGGTAAATATTTCTAGGAGAGCAGTAAGAAGTGAGCAGTCATAGCAAGGCACTGAAATGAGAACAGCCAAATCTCAAGCAATTGAGAATTAATTGGAATTGCAAATTTTTTTGAGTGGTGAGGAGGGATTGGTAAAGAAGGGGGAAAATTCTATCCCTACCCCTCACCATTCAAAAATAGTACAAGCAGCTCTCAGTATGCAAGTGGAAATTCTGGAACCAGCCAAAGTTGCTTCAGAGGTTTATGATCCACTGCAAGGTTCATTCTTTACTCAGAAGCGATGCATGACAATGATTGAAATTTGAACCTGGCTAAAAGAGGAAGGCAAATTAACACTAAAGTGGGTGTCTGTTTGGGAGGAAAAAAAGCTTGAATTTCAAATATTTTGACTGTTCAGCGCAAGACCTGGACAAGGCCTGGTTCTTTTACCTGCTTGGTGTTATATCAACAGTTTGCATTTATTTAACATCATTAAAGTAGGAAAACATCTCAAGATATAATTAGACTATAAATGACACCACACCAGGATTAGGGGAGATAACAAATAGCTGGTCAAAAAGTTTTTTTAAGGAAGGCTTTTGAGGAGGAAAGCAGAGATAGAAATTCAAGAAATAAAAATCCAGACATCAAGACCTTTATAGTTGTAGGCAACAGAAGGGCAAAAGAAATGAGGATGCTGAATAGGTCAGAGATACTCAGATCTCAAAAAGCTGTTTGGCTGAAAGATGTTACAGAGATAGAGAGTTGCAGGCCTATGAAGGATTTTCAACAAGAGTTGAGAATTTTATTTAATAGTGACAGATCAGGGTGACATGAGATATGGTTCCTGGTCTGTGTTCAGTTTAATAATATGCACAGCATTTGGATTCATACAACTTGTCTCAGAATGCCACGGAAGGTGAAAGTTAGCCCTGGGTTTCTGCTCTGGGGCGTATGATGCTTTTCTGGAGGCTGTCAGATGTAGAGATTGCAGTTTAACCAAGGCCACTTCTGTGGGGAGTTTCCCTCAAACCACACGCAAACACCAGGACTACCTCTCGAATGAAATTGGTGGAAGCAGAAAAGACAGTCAGCCAGCTACCATGTTAACATTTCGGGTCCGGTGACCCTTCCTCAGAACATCAGCTACAGTGGCTGATAATCTATGACAATATTTAAGACAGGTTTGACAATGTGGTGGAGCTTTTATAGAAATTAGGTGTGCCCAAATGTGTTCCAAATTTGCTGTTGATTGCTACCCCTGCACCTCATCCCTTCATCCATCCAACCTATCCCAGCCTTTCTTTAAAAGGTTCAATATCATCAGGTCTCTATTTCTATTCACGGATAGCTTTAAGATCATACCTTTCTTTCCATAATCCAGCTCCAGTTTGTCAACCAAACTAAAACTAACAACAGGAATATCAGGGGTGAAAACCCAAACAACCTCTGGTCAATTAACTAATTTTTTTAAAAAATAAAGGCAATTGCTGTCAGTATAGTAATGCTCAAAAGACCTCTTGTGGTATAGAGATAGTGTCCCTACCTCTGGACCAGAAGTCCCAGGTTCAAGTCCTACCTGCCCCAGACATGCAATGATATGTCTGGAAAGGTTGTTTAAAGTATCTAGATAAATTCAAAAATTGAACAATTGTCTATGTAATCATTCAATTTCTTTTGGTTTTAAAGTGATTCACTTTTTGCTTTGCCAGTATTTAGGTAAGTGTAGATTTGAATTATCAAATTCTAACACAGTTTGATTCAGAAGGGCTGGTTGCTAATTTTGCTGCTGTTTAACATGCCAGGGTCAGTGAGGCTTTCTTCACAGAGAATAAACGGTACAGTTTGATAGCTAATTGAATAGTTGTTGGTTTTGTTGGTATTTAGGTAAGTTCAGGTGTTAAGAATGTGTCCAGTCATCACGATCCCATTCACACCATGGTTGGTCCAAAATGATTTGCTGGTGTTTAGGTGAGTGTAAATGTTGAGAGCATGTCTAGTTGCCCTGTTCAGAGTATCTATATTCAGCACTAATGGCTGTAATTTGTAATGTTCTAGCTAATTGATCTAATGATGAGCACTTTTCTTACATTGTATTTACAATGGTGTCAGTACCTTCTATCCATTGGATCTTAATTTCAACTTTGGGAGGTGGTGGGGAGCATACAAACAGACAGTAGCAGATCTGACTATTATACACCCTGCCTGTATTGAATAGAAATAAAATTTTGGCAGATTATATTTGGGGTAGTCAATCTGCTATTATCCATTTCATGGCCTGTTAAAGATTAAGTTTAACGTCCTGAATGTGTCTCCAGGATTTTAATGTTAGGCGAAACTATGTTTACTGAAAGAACTAGTGCTATTTGAAACTCATGTTGTTCATATCGTTATTCAAGTGTAGTCTCAAAAGAATGTGTTAGGGGCATTTGCTTCTGACAGTTTGAAATCTGTGTGACTGTGTTAGACTGCTCTTTCACAGGATGGATAGAGCAGGGTTACATCTCTTGTGTGTGGTCATTCCAGAAATATTCTATTTTGGGTACAAAAGTAAAAGTCTGAAGGGTGCAGTGAGTTCACACACATGCGTAAACCTATGAATCCTGTGTTATCAGATGTGATTGGACCATTTCATCCTGAGTTCAGATAGGCATTGGTTCATAAGACAAAGCTCCTCCAGCATTACTCAAAACAAATGAGTCTTCTGTATCAGAAGACAGTTAGTGTGGAAATTTTTTTAAAAATTACTCGTACAGCAAAGCTATCTTTTTGAATGCAGAATGTAATGTTGGGAACAATGTAGTGGAACGTTTACTCTGTCCTTTACCTAATCTGAAAACATTTCAGTATAATAGTGTTGAGGATGCTTTACTCTGTACCTAACCCAGTTCTACCCGCCCTGGGAGCATTCAACAGGGCACAGTAATGGGAGTTTTATTTTGTCCAAAGCTCTATCTGCAATGGGAGCATTTAATAGGTGTGTGTACGGACCTTTACTTATTTGCGGCAGATACCAGAGGATGTACGGGAACCCAACCTTAAGACTCTGTGTCAATCTATTAGCTGACACTAAGTGTATGGAAGAGAGATACATGGTTTCTACATAGTGGATTCATGATCAGCCTCATGGGATATGGGGTAATTAATACAATTGTTGCTACTTGTATCATTCAGCTTCCAGTCAGAATCCAGTAAAAAGAATGGTCAGAAGATGCTTACGTGTTTCTATTTGTAAACATCTGGGAGCTGACCCTTGTTGATGGTGTGCTGAAAGGGCCTAAGTCACTGTTACCCCATTGTAGCAACAAGAACAGTAGTCAACGTTCACAATAGCAGAAAAGTCTAATACACTTCTAGCTGGTGACTCACATGCTACAGCACATTGGAGCATACTAGATGAATATGTTCACTTGTTTCTAGTAAACTCACTTTTTAGTGAAGGCAATTCTCAGTACTGATAAACAACAAATAAAAAGATTTTCATGGAGCATGAATGTCCCCAATTGTTTCAGAAACAATTAAGCGGATTTAATGCAGAAATAAATCAATAGAATTAGATTGAATCATCAACACCAAAACAGGCATTTCTGCCCAACTGGTGTATAAGCTCCATGTGAACCTACCCCCAACCCCTTTTCATTGTCACCCTGTCATTTTATCCTTCTAGACCTTCATCTCAGACACTGACCAAAATTCTCATTACATGCATGAGATTTCCAATAGGAAACAAATCCTCCTTTAAAAGGGAACAATACAGTTGTGCTTCACATTCCCTCCAAACAAACAAGAGCAGAAATGGGTACGTTCACCAGTCTAAAACAGTGATCACTAAACTGCCAACTAAGACTGAGTACTGAAGCACAACATTCTGCTGTTGCCTGATTTTTTGGCATCTGTCTAAATCAGCTCAAGAACCTTTTTATTTTGAAGTGTTTGTATTTTCAGCAGTGCATCAATCCATCTTAATTTATTTTTGTGATGCCAGTCTTTAGGCAAGGTCAAACTTCAGGCTTGTTATTATAAGAAAATGCATCACTGCCATCAATTGGCTAGAAAGGAGTATTACAGAGGATGGATTGCAAATGAATAAAAAAAACACAGGGCAGATCCACAGCACAAGATCCAAACAATCTGATAAGCCTTGCAGTGCTTGTTAACAGCACTCAGTTGTTTCTTATAGTTCAAAGGACTTTTATCGCGGCAGTCAATCCAGTGCCCAATTGGTGTGATCACTCTGAAATGAGGCAGGTGCACAATTTACCTGGAACTACAGCTTTTCTTAACATTTCTCCGAACTTTTATGGTTTTAGTTTGAAAGTGTTTTGATAAATTTTGCCTTTCTCAAAGCCATATCAGGTTATCACTACACATCTAAAGCTGACACAAAAGAGACTTAAGCTTTTTGAAGTGAACCTAAAAGTGAGAAATGGCTCAAGGCAAATTATAACAAGTTTACTTCACCAGAGAATCTTGTTTTATCTTACTAGGGCTAGGTCCAGGCATCAGATTGAAGTTGCATTCGCATTACGACACCTGTTATGAGAATGTGAAACCATTTTGCATTTGATGTGACGATTGCGACACCTACATAGCATATACATATCTCTGCCATTTTCTTTCAATGCTGGAAGTCTTTTGGGAAGAATATCTGTTATCATTCCCCAATCTGCTTTATATATGATGCTAGTTGACTGTTCTTCAAAAAAACCTAGCAAGCCAATTGTGTCAGTGTTGCTAAGGTTAAGAAATTAATACTAGCCTTGCTAATGAGCCAGATACTGACAATTTTCAAAAGATGCATTCTGACCAGCAACGTACATTGAAATTAAAACATATGCTGGGAAATTCCTTGGATTTCCAGTGTGCTGCAGGCATCATAGAAAGAGGTAATTATTAATAAATCAGCACTTTGGAAAAGTAAACCAGCTTATCTAAGCAATTCAAAGCATGCTATTAGCTAATTAGAACCAGCATACCTCACATTTGCTGTCATCTCTATTTGTCTCTGGTGAGATCTCTTCTGGCCCCATTGTGTAATGCTGCTAGTGGGCTCCACGTCAGTCTGGGTGAATTGGACGGAGATCAGTGAAAACCCCCAAGTTCCAAATGAACTTTATTTTGGTAGTGAATTGTGATTTTTGAAGTCAATGTTATGCAGTTCATAATGATTAAGTCGAACGTGCATGGGAATTCATTTAATTTGATTCAGCTTTATCCATCAAGCAGAATGTCACTACTGGAGAGAAACAGAACACTGCTATTATTCAACAAGTTACATACTATAGAAAAGTAGGACTAAATTATGAGGGTTACAGGATTATAGACAGAACTTAGGATTGTGTAAGGTTATAGGACCATTTAGATTAAAATTTGACAAGTGAGAGATAAGAAGTGTATTCAAGTGGAATCTTTTTCTACCCAAAGTGACAACCTTACAAAATAAGTTATTAGGCAGATAAGACTGAGGCAACTGCCTTTGCAGTCAGTTGGATGTTTTTTCACAAGAGAGGAGAAATGGATGCTTTTGATGAGACGAGTTTGAACTTTGAAAAGAAGGAAGCCTTGTAAGAGCCCAGCTGTTCCTCAGAACTTAAAGGATCATTCAGTCTACAGTTCTTAGTGATTGGATAATGGAACAGAAAGGTGCTGGAGTGTAGTTCCCAATAAATTCAGCAAGTGTGAAGCACCAACAATATTAAGTGTGTTTGGGAGAGCTTGGTCCAGATGAGATAACAGGTACATTGCAGACTGCAATTGTAGATCAGAAAGCATCACCTGCAGTGCTTTAGCTGCATTATCCGAAAGTGTGCTGTCCACTGGAAGTTGTGTTTATTCAGTATTTCTCAACGTCAGCATGTTCTTAAAAAGTGCTTTCCCCATAAATCAAGTACTTTTGATGTGCAGTTGCTGTAAGGTAGGAAACAGGGTTACCGATTTACACAAGACAAGGTACGACAAAAACATGACAACCAGATAACTTGTTTTTAGTGATATACAATTAAAGGATAAATTTGATAAGGCAACCTGAAATGTTGAAATGGTGCAATGATCTTTTATATTGCCCAAGAGGGCAGATTGGCCTCAGTTAGATGTCTCATCTCAAAGGAGTGTGCAGTACTGTTGCACTCCCCAGTATTGTGCGATCAGCTTGGACCATGTGCACAATTAAGTTACTGACTGTGCTTGAACAGGGGTGGGGTGTACAACATCTTTGTACACTTTCCCTGGTCTTTTAATACTTTTGCTAAAAGTGGGTGGATTTTTTTTAGTGGTTATTTACACCCACTCATGTTCTTAGCCACATATACTGGAAATATCCCATATTCAGTTCCTTCTCTCAGCTAATATGTTGGGTTTGGAAAGTTCCAAGTTCTAAACAGCAGTGAAGGATTTGGAATAATTTTTGATTGAATTGTAATGCAACATGATATGACCAAATATGTACAGAGCAACATACATCATGAAAGAAAAAAAACATAGGGAAATATTTTAGGAGTGTAGAACTTGACTGACTCAATGAAGTTGTTTACTGATCTAAGTCAATTTTTAATTTGTACAAGAGACCCATTCATAACTTAAGAAAAATTATGCAGAACTTCATAAAACAGATGTCCAACACACAATATTTCTCCAAACATGCCGCATTTAGCGCATCACGTCTCAAATTACTCATTGTAACCTGAAGAGCGATTTTTTTTTTTAAAAATTATTATTATAATAATTTATGTAGTAATGCATCCCATTTTCCATTGGAAAGAATCGACATTATCTACCTCCATCATCCTGTTAGAGAGGAGGCTATTCCAGAGCTAGGTATATCACTCGCTGAAATGTTGGGAATAATTTTATCTAATCTCACCAGACATGGAATCGGACAGACTGTCAATTTTATACCCTGTCCATTAACTTTTTATGCTCCATAAATCAGTTACGATATAAACTAATCCCATTAGCTTTGTGGTTGGCAGTTTAAATTACAATTGTTTCCCCCTCCACCATCCAAACACAGTCAATCTGGGTTTGCCACAAACCTATCAGAGCTTCAAATGACAGTGATCATATGACTGTTTAAAGCAAAAGCTGACACCCTCTTCTCTTTTCCTCTCCACTACCCACCCTTCCCCACAACGAAACCAATTTGGTCATGCTTCAGAAACCTACTCTCCCACATTAAGCACAGACTCAAGTTGCAAGTTGGGAAGTTTGGTGCTTGGACCTGTGCATACCATATGCATAATCCACTTACTGCTTTATGCAGTCTGTTATGTGACCTGCACTGCGCTTGAACTGTGTATGAGTAGAAGTGATTCTCAGGCAACAGTAAAATGGGCAAAATGTACAAATGGGCAAAAGTGTCCCCCATTAAAAACTATCCTTGTTAAAATCACTCAAGATGTGGACTTCAGTGGCTATGCCATCATTTGTTGCTCATCCCTAAATCTTTCTCAAGAAGATGGCAGTGAGGTGCCTTCTTGCATCATTGAAGCTTGTGTGGTGAGGGTTGTACTGTTAGGAAGTTGGATGTTGCCAACTGAGAACCAGGTAGGGGGTATACATGGCATATTTTCCTGAGAAAATGGGAGAGACTGCCACAATTAGCCATTTCCCTAACCTCCTGGGTGAGAGGAATGGGGAAATCACAAACAATTGGAATCACAGAGACATACAGCACGGAAACAGCCCTTTGGCCCAACTCATCCATGCCAAACAGGTTTCCTAAACTGAGCTAGTCCCATTTGCCTGTGTTTGGCCCATAACTCTCTAAACCTTTCCTATCCATCTACCTGTCCAAATGTCTTTTAAAATATTGTAATTGTTCCTGCCTCCACCACTTCCTCTGACAGCTCTTTCCATATACATACCACCCTGTGTGAAAATGTTGGCCCACTGCTTTAAATCGCTCCCCTCTCATTAAACTTGTGCCCTCTCATTTTGGACTCCCTACCCTGTGGAAAAGACTTTGGTTATTCACCTCATCTATGCCCCTCATGATATGAGCTTCTATAAGGTCACCCCTCACCCTCCTACATTCCAGCCTCAGTAAATGAACTGTCCATTTTATACTTCTCCCTCCTTTCTTCCTGGAACACTGCCAAGAATGCAATAATAAACCATGGGATCCAACTTGAAAATTGCAGGACTACTGCACACAGTTTATTGTCTAATCCTACCAAAGCAACTGGGGGAGAAAATACTGGAGACTCCTTCCAACTTTCTCATACATCATCTACCACTTCTCTAAACCCCATTCCCCCCACCACATTCTCTTCTGTCCATTTGCAGATCCTGTTGTTCAATATCAATACCAATTCAACACTGTGAAAAATTGCCTAGGTATGTCCTGTTCACAGAAGCAGGCCAATATCCAGGTTTACTATAAGACAGAGGAGCAGAAATTAAGCCATTCAGCCCATAGAGTTTGGTGCACCATTCAATCATGGCTGTTTCTCAACCCCATTCTTCTGCTTTCTCCACATAACCCTTGATCCCCTTGACAATCAAGAACCAATCTATTGCTGTCTTAAATGTACTCAATGATCTGGCCTCCAAAGCCTTCGAATGTAGCGAGTGCCATAGATTCACCACTCTCTGGCTGAAGAAGTTTCTCCTTATCACCGTTCTAAAAGGTCTTCACTTTAAGGCTGTGCCCTCTGGTTCTAGTCTCTTCTACCAATGGAAACATCTTCCCAAAATCCACCCTCTCCAGGCCATTCAGTATTCTGTAAGTTTCAATTAGATCCCCTCATCCTTCTAAACTAGTATAGAGTCCTCAAATGTTCCTCATCTATGAAGCTTTTTTATTCCTGGGACCATTCTCATGAACCTGTAAGCCCACTCCAAGGCCATTACATCCTTCCTGAGATATGGGGCCCAAAACTGCACACAATACTCCAACTGTGGCCTGAGCAGAGCCTTAGAGCCTCAGAAGTACATCCCAGCTTTTATATTCAAGTCCTCTCAAAATAAATGTCAACGTTGCAATTGCCTTCCTAACTACTGACTCAACCTGCAAGTTTACCTTGACAGGATCCTCGACTAGAACTCCCAAGTCTCTCTGCACTTGAGATTTCTGAATTTTCCCCCCATTTAGAAAATAGTCCATACCTGTATTCTTACCAATGTGCATGACCTTGCACTTTCCCATATTTAACTCCATCTGCCACTTCTTTGCCCAATCTCCTAACCTGTCCAAATCCTTCTGCAGCTTCTCCGTTGCCTCAATACTACCTGTGCCTCTACCAATCTTTGTATTGTCTGCAAATTTAGCCAGAATGCCCTCAGTTCCTTCATCTAGATCATTAATTTTTAAGATGAAAAGTTATGGTTCCAACACTAATTGTTGTGGAACACCACTTGTCACTGGCTACCATCCTGAGAAAAACCCTTTTATCTACACTCTGCCTTCTGTCAAATAGCCAACCTTCTATCCATGCTAGCACCTAACCTATAACATCATGGACCCTTATCTTAGTCACCAGCCTCTGTGCAGAACACCTTGGCAAAGGCCTTCTTGAAGTCCAGGTAGATAACATCCAGTGGCTCTCCTTGGTCTAACCTGCTCGTTACTTCCTCAAAGCATTCTAGCAGAATCGTCAGGCATGACCTGGCGATGCACTTCCAAGTATTCAGAAATATCATCGTTTACAATGGACCCCTAAATCTTACCCATGACTGAGGTTAGGCGAATTGGCCTTTAATTTTACTCCCTTTTTAAACAGAGGTGTCACATTAGCAATGTTCCAGTCCTCTGGGACCCTCCCTAACTCTAGCAATTCCTGAAAGATCACCACTTATCTCTTCAGCTATCTCCCTTAGAACTCTGGGTGTTGTCCATCTGGTTTAGGCTGACAAATGACAAGTAACATTCATGGCACAATGACCATTTACAACAACAAAAGACTCCATCCATCATCCCTTGACATTCAATGGCATTACTAATGTTGAAGCTGCCATTAGTAACATGCTAGGCATTACCACTAGCCATAAGCTCAAGCTAGACAAGCAAAATAAATGCCATGAATATAAGAGGTTAGGAATCCCGCAGTAAGTAACTTGCCTCCTCACTCCCCATGGCCAGTACAGAGAGATGGAAAGGAATATTCCCCACTGACTGGATAGGTGCAGCTTCAAGGATATGCGAGAAGCTTGACACCATCAATGACAAAGCAGCCCCTTGGATTGGCACCGCATCCTTAAACATTCACTTCCTTCACCATTGATAACTGGGTGAAGTGTGCACCATCTACAAGATGCAGTGAAATTCTCCTCATTTCTCTAGACAGTACCTTTCAAAAGTACAACCACTTCCACCCAGAAGAACAAAGGCAGCAGATACATGGGAACACTACACGGCCTGCACATTCCTCTCCAACCCACTCACCAACCTCCTTTGGAAATATTTTGCCATTCTTGGGTCAAAATCCTGGAACTTCCTCCGTGACACAAGGCCAGGCAACCTACACCACATAGGGTGTTGTCTTGAATGGCAACAGTCCACCAACCTCCTAAAGGGCAACTAGGGATATTCAATAAATGATGGCCCAGCCTGGGTCACCCACATCCCAATGACTGAATATCAGTAAAGTCCTACCACATGTAAAACGGGTGCCTATGAGGAAGGGGATTCCTTCTACAGATTGGTGATGGAAGATTGGGGGGGGGGGGGGGGGGAGACGCTGGAAAAAGTCGAATTTGCGTGTGGATGGGCTATTCAGCCCTCCCTCTCCCTTACCTTGCCATCTGGAAACAATCCCCGCCCGTAAGGCGGCTGCGGCCGGCCGCTTCCCTGCGGAACCTTCTAGAACCAGCCCGAGCTCCCCATCCCCACTCCCAAACCCTGGGCGTGGCCTCAACCGCCATGTGCACGAGCGCGCGGGAGGGCTCAGCCCGTGCTCCATTGCCAATCACAGCCCCCGCCCCGCCAGCACACGCGCACTTCCAGTCATTCCAACCAATCAACAGCTGTTCTTTCCCCTGTAAAGAACCGCTTCCCGAGCGCAGAGTACGGGATTTAGCTGTACTAATTTATTGGCGGCGTGGCAAGGCAAGGAGAAGGTAGTTTCCGACGCTGGGGAAGAGCTGCTTCCACTGTGCCCCCCTCCCCTCCTTTCACATCGCACACAAATCCTGGCGCCCGGGCGATGTGTGCGGGAGGAAACGGGGCTTCCAGTTTGGACCAACCAGAATTGTGTGCGCTGGTGACACCAGCTGTTACCCAGTGGCATGATTGGTCGAGTGTGGAAAAGAAGAGGGCGGGGAGAGGGGCCAGGCGTTTCTCGTCAAGCCGCGTGGAAGGAGGATCACGTGGTCCTGCTTTTTATACCGTGTGTGTTTGGAATGAGGTGGTCGTCGTTGAGTAGGGAAAGGTGGTGTTGTAATGGTTTCTCTTTCTACCATCCACTTATTGCGACAGTTTGGATCGCCAGGGAGGACATACACCTCTTCGCATTTTCTTTTACATTATTCATTCACGGCCCCGTGCCTAACTGCCCCAGAGAGCAGTTAGGAGCCAACCGAATGGCGGTGGGTCTGGACTTCACATGGGGTCCGGATATGGTATGGGTGGCAGATCTTCTTCCCTGAAGGATGTTAGTGAATCAGATGGGTTACTTTCCCACAATCAACAACGGTTCACGGTCAACGTTAGATGCAGTAGTCGGGACGCTGGTGAGCTCAGTTGGTTGAACAGCTGGTTGGCAATATGTACAAAAACGTGGATTCATTTTGCACACCAACTGAGGTTACCGCTGAAGGACTTACCTTCTCAGCTTCTCCTCCCTGCTGGAAAATATGTGGTGAACCTCCGATTAAAGTGCAGCCTCTCTAATGAAAGCTCAGCCTTGTGGTCTTCTGTGACTATGGGGACTTTAGAGCCTTAATTCCAGGTTCATTATTGAATTCAAATTCCACCATCTGCTGTGCCAGGATCCAAACCCAAGTCCCCAGAAAAATTCCTGGGTGGCTGGAGTGATAGTCTAGTAATAATACCATGAGGCCATCACTCTCCAGGAGAAAGGAGGGGGTGCAAATTATAAATTCTCTTTTTTTTTCCAAGAAAATGGCAGGGGGGGTGTGGTGAGTGATGTTGATGTGTACCAATGCTGCAGTGATCGAGGGGGATGGTAGCTCAAGCACAAAAAAGGAAGGTTCTGGAACATTGCTGGTACAGGGCAGAATGGAGGGCAGCAGGATGAAGGGTCGACCCCAGTTGTCGCAGGACGGCGGACATCACAGATAAGCTGCAGTGGACAGCGCAAGATGGACAAACATGGTAGACACATGACGGCAGACCTACTGGTAGGAGTAACTTACAAGCAGCAGCTCTGTTGTCTTCAGGTTGTCCGTTCAACCAGAACTGGCTGGTTCAGGCCCTGCCCACTTCTTCCGCCCAGGTTTTATATTCTTCGTTGTAAACAATGCTGGGGTGGTACCCCACGTGCTTAGGCTCACATCGTTTCAGCACCTCCATTCTTCCCAAGTGCCCTTGAGATACAGTGGCCGTGGAATGCCTTCAGTAGTGGATGTCGTGTTTCTTAGGTGTGACGGAGCAGTTATTGTAACTTGTAAAAAGATTGTGAGAGATAATTAATCAGCAGCCATTTTGAAAATTTGGTATCTGATAACTAATATTTGTTGCTTTAGGTATGTGATGTAGATATGCATATGTATCCAATATGTACTTGTGTGTGCATGTGTTCTTTGTACAGTATAACTTCATGGTATGGAAATTGTGCCAATTTATAGTTCAAATATTGCAAATACATATGTAAATTTCTTTATTTTTCTTCCTTTCTTTCCTGTTTTGTCCTTTCTTACTCTTTTGCACCTTCTTTCCTCCCCGCTCCACCCTTCAAACCATATTTCTCTCTAATATGCCTGCCTAACACCTTTCAAACCCCCCCTCTGGAAGTCAATGGAGCATTCATTCAAAAAAAGACAAAATGGCTTCCCAGCCCCACCCACTTCCCACCCACCTCGCCTTCACCGCGCCAAAGATTTTGCTTCAAGCCGGATCGAGGCGAAGTTCCACGGAGACCCCCGCCTCATCCGCCGCCAGGCCCGCCGCTTTGAGTACAGCTTGGAAGGGGGAGGGGGGCAGCAGCTGGTCTGATGTTGACCTGCCTTGGGTTTCCGTTGGCACGGGACCTGCTGAGGGCGGTGTCTAGACTATGACATCCCTTCTGGTAGATCATCTGGGCAGGGAAAAGAATTCTCAAATTGGCTGAACACCTTTTTTGGGGAGGGAAGAGGAGGGAGGGGATGTGGGAAGGGGAGGGCAAACAGGGTATTACACTGATCTCTTAATTATTTTTAAAAAATGAAATATCTATATATATTTATATATAAATTAATTTCACACTACATTCAAGATCGCCCACAGAACCTGGTAAGTGGGGTGACACCTGAGCCTGGTGGATTTGATTGAATGGTGCATTGCTAGCCAGGCAAGGGAAAGAATGCTCCGTTTACATACAGAAGGGGGCAGGGGAGACGGTGGCGCCATGAGGGCCTTGTTGACTGACTCAGGCGACTACAGACCTTGGCTGGAACAATATCTTGCGCCGTCTATACCTCCGACATTTTGAGGGCAGCGGACCATAAGGTACGAGACCAAAAGGGAGAAATCTTTTAAGCTGCAGTATCACTGGCTTTCAAATGGTCTGTAGGTTGTGGAGATGTGTGAATAGGCCAATTTCTGGCAGTGATCGCCCACATTTGAGCCACTCCGCAGCTTGTTGGAGGTGCTGTACAGAGTTTCCTGTCTCCCCGTCAGAGGCAGAATAAGAAACACTGAATATGAAATGCAATGGAGACCATCTCAAATTGGTGGTGACCATTTATGTTCAGTGAGGATGGGTGCAGAAATGGCTAGAAATTGGGCCTTGTTGCACATCTCCAGCAGGCCAGCTATTTCAGAGCTGTCAGAAATCAAATCTACACAACATCTTCACATGTAAATATTCTCATGGACCTCTTGCAGTTTTGCCTTCTAACTCTTCCTTCCCACCAACCATCAGGATTTAAAAATTATTTTTTAAAACAATTAAAAGTACAGGGGCTGGCAACATCTGCATTTGAAAGTAGAATGAAAGAATCTTCTTTGGAGAATCATTCAAGAGACCGGATTTTGGCGGGTGGGGAGGTAGTGGAGTACAGGAAACCCTTATCTGAAGAGCTGTTAAGTACTGAGGTCACCATCTTGCTTGGTACAGGCACTACTGCAAGGTCACTGATGCCCCTTGGACTGGTACTCCATCAGAGAATCTTGAGCTAAGATATGGACTGCACTGAAGATATTTTCACATGTGTCTGCAAAATCGATGTGAGGTGGTGTGGCTTTTTTTTTGTCTGTCTCTGTGTGTGTGAATGTCTGTGCACATATCCATTTGTCTTTCAATCAGTATTTCCCTAGGTGACCCACCTTTTGCCACATTGCCTATCATCCATGCAACTCGCCAACGTTCCATGTCGTGTTGTCAGTTTTGAGCTTAATATACAAAATGGTTCAATGTTTCCCAAGATTGGTCTTGGTGTCGGGTTTAATGTATTATTTGCAGCAGCACAGGATAGTTCCCTTGGGAACTTCTGGCTGAATATGGAGCTGCCACAAGACCTCTCTGAATGACCAAACGATGATTGCAAACAAATGGTCTTACTTCTTGGAACCCCAGTGAACTGCATCTTGTGGTTGGTATCACCTGACAGGATATAGCTCCCGAGTTAAACGTGTTGCATTGCATCGTTTCACGTAGGAATGAAAAAAAACAACTTGAGCTGAAGCCTGGTTTTCTGAACATAGAAGAAATTTTCAAATTCAATTTAGAGTAGGTACTCAAGAGTTGAATCTCCAAATTAGAAACATTTAGAACAGTACAGCACAGTACAGGCCCTTCGGCCCACAATGTTGTGTCAACCTATTATCCTACTTAGATCAATCTACCCTGCATTCCCTACATTTTACTATCCTCCACGTGCTTATCCAAGAGTTGCTTAAAAGTCTCTAAGGTATCTGACTCCAATACCACTGCCGGCAGCACATTCCACACACCTACCACTCTCTGTGTGAAGAACCTACCTCTGACATCTCCCCTATACCTTCCTCCAATCACCTGAAAATTATGCCCCCTCGTAACAGTCATTTCCGCCCTGGGAAAATGTTTCTGACTATCCACTCTATCTATGCCTCTCATCATCTTGTAAACCTCTATCAAGTTACTGTTCATCCTTCTTCGCTCCAATTAAAGAAGCCCTCGCTCCCTCAACCTTTCCTCATCAGACCTGCCTTCCAGTTCAGGCAGCATCCTGGTGAATCTCCTCTGCACCCTCTCTAAAGCTTCCACATCTTTCCTATAATGAGATGACCAGAACTGAACACAATATTCCAAGTGTGGTCTAACCAGAGTTTTATAGAGCTGCAGCATGACCTCACGGCTCTTAAACTTAATTACCCTGCCAATGAAAGCCAACACACCATACACCTTTATAACCCTATCAACTTGACACAATCTTTTTCCAAACAGCTTCATTTGCAGATTATATATATATTAGTTCTTACTGTTCTTTATAAAGAGAGAAACATTACTCAAACAGCATTGAAATGAATCACCTAAATTAAATTAGTTCAGAAATATTCCCCAGTATGGCCCAAGCTCAGTTTAGAAATTTTATTTTGGTATTTGAACTTAAACAAGAGAAAAGCATTGAACATAGTTGCAGGAAAAGAGACCTTGCACTTTGGTCTGGCCAACTGCATGGTGACCACCTCAGTGGCATGCCCTGTGGGTTTGACTGTAATCTAAAATAATCAGGTCAGATTAGATTTGGTTGTTGGATAACATCCAGAGGGTATATATAATATATCACCCACTTCAATGTCACAAACAGACCTTTGCACCCTGTTGGCCAATGGAGTCACAGGTGTTTCCATCTTCCTGCACTGCCTTTGCTCTCAACTATGGAGATTCTGGAAAGGCAAGAGGTTTCAAGAAAGTTTGGGTTGGAAGAGTCAGGGTATGGTGGGTACGTGATTTTACTTCAAAATAAACAGGAGTTCACAACTCACGCCAATCCAGCGAGTGTTAACTTCTTTGCCTCCTGTTAGGTTGAAAAATATCACAAAAAGTATGTCTAAGATGTTGTGTT